ACCCCAGGTTAAGAGCTCCAATTCTACTTGGTAAAATAAAGGCCACACATTTTAATTCTGTTGCTTTGATTTCTTCTTCTACAACTGGCATGCTGATTGTTTTCCCAGCCTCATACCCACATTTGCCATGCTAGGTAAGAATTCTGAAATTCCAGGTCTTGATTAGGTTTCTTAAGAGCATGGCTGTGATTAGGAACTCAGTAAGGTGGAGGGAAAGAGGCAAGAAATAAATTCATCTTGGTTGTTTCCCCCTATTATATCAAGAGCCTGTCATTCAGTAATGGTGGAAAAGTAAACCATTGTTTACATGCCTTAGCATCCTGTCATTTGGTCCATCTGAACTAGTACCCTTGTAGGAATTTGCAAATAGGCTACATGCAGAACTATAAAGAAAAAAGTCATGAGCTGCTCACAGAAATTTCCCTCATAACTTTATCGTGTATCGTTTCTATTTCTTTTTTGGCCATGTGCTTTTCAAAATTAACAGTGGCATATACATTTATCTCTCATATACCATTATCTTCCCTCTGCACCTTTCCCCTAAGAAGTGCTTATCAAGGCCTTCAGAGGGAGCAAATTTGGTGCAAGAAATGTGTTGTCACAGCAATGAGTTCTATTCATGATGTAAATATCTTTAACACCTTTTTGCTATAGTGGCATTATTGCCCTTTGTAATTACCTAGAGTGTCAGTATGATAGGTATAGTTAATGCAAAACATGGAACCAGGTACAGCCCAGTGTGCTTACAGTTTGAATAGGCAAGGAGTCACCCACATATTGGTAGGGTTGAGGGGAAGGGGATAAGATGCCCTTTTTTTGGCTACCATACACTGGGAGCAGAGTAAAACAGAGGTTAATAGGGCCAGAGGCTATCTGTATGTGATCTCATACCTGCATAAATGGCTTAAGGCAATCATAGCAACTCTATGAAATGGAATATGGGCAGGAAGGAACCTGCTTCGATTTCTAGGAAGCTCTGCTTTGAAGCAGTTTTCTATTACTGTTAGTAATTGAAAAGAGGTCGTGCCTAGATTGATCTTTCTCACCATTCTCATGTTGGAAAGTGCTTGCAGCTGAAAGGAAGAATAGGGCAGAAACACATGTCTACCTTCAAAGAGGTACCCCAGTCCACATGTTTTTTGCTCTGCCCCTTCCAAATCATATGTCTTACCCCATAGATCACCAAATCCATGAGAGAATCAGGCATGGATCAGGCAGCTCCCTAATCATCCCTGATATATCTTCCAATCACTCTTGTTACAGATCTATTAACTATATCACCAAAAGGGGTCTCAGTAGATCATCTACTTCATCTACCCTCCTTAAGGCAGGTAAGGTACTCTTTATTAGAGCTCCACAAGGGGGGACTGAAGAACCATTCACTGGTGATATTAAGGGGACAATTTATGCTTCAGGTTGGATGACCGCTGCAGTTTCACACCTTATCACCACTCACCCAGGTTATTACAATAGTCTCCTAATTGGTCTCCCTGGTTCATATGTTTCCCCACTCTCATCAATTTCACACACTACTGCTCAAACAATTTTCCTTAAACATGTATCTGAGTGTGGTATTCCCCTATTTTGCCAATCCCAGCAGTTTTCTATTGCCTCTAGGATAAAATATATACTCCTCTGTTTCATTTTTAAAGTCAGCCTGGCGCCATCCTACATTTTCAACTTCATTGGACATCACTCTCCCTCCTACACTCTTCTATCCAGACCAGCTGGCCTTTCTGTTCTTAATACATGCCACTCTGTCTCCTGACTCTGTCTTTGCACTGGTGGTCTTCCATGCATGGAATACATTCTTTCCATATCTCCATCTCATAAGTATACCTCTATTCCTTTAAGATGTAGCTCAGGAAAGCACCATCTGCTGCATCAACCCTTTTCTGATTCCCTCAACTGCTAGTGTCCATCCTTAAAAACTGCCTTATAGTTAACTGTTCTGTTAATTTTTTACATTTATGCTACACATATTTTACATGTACTTGTCTCCTCCCTCCCCCTTAGAATGCAAACTCATTGTAAGTAAGCATTGTTTTATTCTTTATACTTGTATCTCCAAAGCCTAGCACAGTGCCTGGTACATAAGCAGCTGCTTAATAAATGCTTGTTGACTGACCAAACAAAACCCCTCAGAATTCGAACACTACATTATTCCATAATCTCTGTTTTATTCATTAGGAGTTGTAGCATTCTTTCTTATAATCACCCTCACCAACATACTCAAAACCAAATAACTCATGAACCACTGAAAGTCTTTAGAGAACTACCCATGTAATATGAAGTATAATTACAAATGGAAACAACCTACTAAGCAAACTCCAAGTCAAATGTTGGCTGTAAACACTGGAAAGATCCTTCCTAAGGAAAAGTAGTTCTAGTTTTCCAAATGTGGTCATTTTGTTTGGGTCTTGTTCTGTGAGGGTAGGGATTATCTCCTCTCTGAATTTCTGAGTGGTCATCTAGCACATCATGCTTGATTAATAATTGCCTAACAATAAGATTTGGGGATGATAACAAGGAGCCTTGAGGAACATTCCAAATATAGGCACAGATGATGACAAAAAGAAGACTCATTTGCAACCAGACAAAATATTGATCATACAAGCAAGGAGACAAGGAGCATAGGGCCCAAGTGTGAATGCAAGGATGATAATGGCAGCCACAACAATGATGATGATGAAGAAATAATATTAAGATAAACAGTTGTCCCAGGACTATTCCATCTGAACTTCATTTAAAAAAAAAAAGATGAGAAGAATGAAATGATCATGGGGATAAGTAGCTTTTATTGAATACTTCAAGGTCTGCAAAGATAACACTTGATATTTATTACCTTATTTAATCCTCATAATAACCCTGTGAGGGAGGTACTGTACCCATTTTACAGGTGGAGAAGCTGAGGCTGAGAAAATCTGTAGAATCAACACATTTTGGGGAAAAATACCAGTTTTCCCCCTAAAGGAGTGATCTCTCTTACTCCCTTCAACATCTAGGTTACTAGTCCTCTAATCTTCTGAAATAGCTTCTTTGCACCAGGCACCAAGCTTTTTAGAACAAAGAACACAGGGAATCTTAGCTAAATAGCTAGTGCCCTCCTGTTCAAGTATATCTTTCTAACTCTGGGGTTCTTAACCTGAGATCATTTACTTGACTTTTTAAAAAAAAATATTTTGATAATTATATTTCAGTGTAATTGCTTTCACTTGTGATTATATGTATTCTATTAATTTAAAAGCATTATTCTGGAAATAGTTGCATGGGTTTCACCAAAGAACTGAAACAAAAAAGGTTAAGAATCCTTATTTTTAACCAAACTTCCTGGTGGGAAGGGTTTAATTTTATCTGTTGGATAGCTCATTCTAGCTTCAGGTGAGCATTCTCTTTTCCTCTTTATTTTAATCTCTGAAGGATATATAACACCTAGTCATCATCCATGTAGAGGTTAATCATCCTAGAACTGTCAAAATCTGTAAGGTTTAGGGGTCACTCAAATGATCAATTTCAAAACTCATTGCAGTCTCCTGTGTAGATCAGTGGTCATGGAAAGGCACAGAGACAAAGCTAACACCAGAGAACCAGGACACTGATTTCTGTGGTAGTGGAAGAGTACTACTTCTGGAGTCAGAGGACCTGAGTTTGAATCATGAATGTGCCACTTACTGTCTAAGTGGCTTTGAGCAGGTCACTTCTCCTCTCTCCCTGTCAGTTTCCTTAATTGATAGACTAGATGACCTGTCAAATGCCTTTTACTCTAAAGCAATGACTCTATGATCATACTAGCCTGTCCATATTCCCTTCCTTTTATATGTAAACTCAGGAGCAGAGCCTTTAAAAGGCTTTGAAACAATAAGGGCAAGACATCCACGTAAGGGCTGATGAATGGTGGACTGACTATGGTGAGGAGAATGGAGCTTAATAGCTATAACACCTTGTGTTCCGAAGTAAAGTTAGAATTGGCTGTATTTGCTTTACTAGTTAATCCCCGTAGCTATTTCTGGAGTCCTCTGGTGTCAATAAATGCATGTGTATTTGTTCATCTGAGACTTTAGCAATATTTTGATACTCCCAGGGAAAATTTTGGGTGGGGACATGAGTCAAAGAGTGATGTGTGGGATGCTCCAAGACTGAGCCTGGGTTCCTAGAGTTCTCTGGCACTGGCTAGAACAATGGTTATTATTATTATCATGCCCTACATTTGAATAGTGTTCAATACTTTCCAAAAGCCTTTTATATCCACTATCTCAATGGTCTCTCTGGTTATTGGGGCTTTTTTTCCTTACTCAAATTATCTTGCATTTATTAATCTATTTTCATATTATATCTTTCCTCACAGTAGTGAGTTCCAAAAGAAAAAGGACTCATTTTTTTGTTTTTGTCTTTACATTTCTAATAACATAGCGTAGTAGGTACTTAATCAATGTTTATTGACTTGAAATAAAAAGACTTGAGACCCTTACAGAATATAGCAGAGAGAAAGGCCTCTGGGAACAGCTCCCAGAAGCTAACAATAAGAACCGCACACATTATGTAAGAACATTAGTTTCAAAAGCTCTTCTTCGAAATGTTCTGTTTGAAAGATCTGAGATAGAAAATATGAGTTGTTTTGACTACCTTTCAAGTCAAATTACTACAGTCAAAAATAAAGGAAGTGATTCTAGAACTGAAAATACATGTTCTCTTTTTAAAAACACATTTGAAACTTCTTTCCTTATCTCCTAACTATTGTGTCTGGGATAAACAGTTTCATGTAAATTTACTTTTCAGGCAAAATTGCATAAAACTATAAAAATGCGAAAGTTGGATTTGAGTTCACTTTGTTATTCTAATTAAGCAACCACTGGTGGAAAAATGTTTTGCTACTTCCTCTCATCTTTGTATTTTTAGATGGGTCAGAAGACAATAAACATAGACACTGCTTGTTTTTTAATTTAGTTCTACAATAAGTAATTATATTTCTGTACTTAATTTTGACTTATTTTGTTTTCTAGGATGAACAAAAATGTTTCATTTGTGATTCCAGATATCCATATAATCCATATACACAAGCCAACAGCCATACAATCGAGAATGTCATTACAACATTTGAACCAGAGAGAAAAAAGAAATGGTGGCAATCTGAAAATGGTATTATTCCATTATGTACTTTTCATTTTTTCATATTTTAATTATTAATCAACCCTCATTAAGACAGATTTCTTTTGAAGTAATTTTAATGATGTTAACTTTGAGTAGAATAATAGAGGCAAAAATCAAAGAGCCACATATAAATAGAAAACTTACTTTCATTTAAGGAAAGATTAGTTTCCATTAGAAAAATAGCTCTTTGAGAATAGTGACTGCCTTTCTTATCCTTTTGTATCCCCATGGCTTGGCACAGTGCCTGGCACATTGTAGGTCCTTAATAAATATTTATTTATTGATCAGTTCATAGCTGGATACATTCAATTATTTGTATGTTAAAAGAAATTTTGTATGTAGCACCCTCTCTGGGTTCACTCACCCAGTTTGGAACTTGCAGTCACAGCCTGGGGTTCCCAGAAGATTGGCTGCCTACTACTCCCCTCAGTATTCTAAAGATAACCCTGATGGGCAGGGTTTCTAATGCAGTTGTTCATGAGATCCAAACAGTGTGTTCCCCATTGAATTAACATTCACAAAAGTTATTTACTAAACAGTCATAGCATGAACAGTTGGTACAAAAAAAACAATCTCTCCCAACTTGAGCCACCCTCTCCCCCTGCACTAGCAGAGGTGGTGGAACACCGTGTAGGACTCATATGTGGCAAAGGAGTCTCTCACACTTCTGGTTAATGAAAATTTTTTTCTCCTATCATACCATCTTCACGAAGTTCCCCTTAGCTTTCTTTTGGGCTCTAAGGGTCATGCATTTCTACAATCCATAGCTGGTATTCTCTCTCTGCTATGAAAGGTCGATCTGGGTCCATAATCATCCTCAGTGTATCTTTTGTTAGTCCTGTCTGCTACTGGTCCAGTATACTCAATTATATGGTCAATAGAAGAGGGACGAGAATAAGGAGTATAAAACACTCCCTCTTTATTCCTCTCAACCCTCCCCTCTGATGCCGTTTGGTTCAGGCATAAGGGTTCTCTAGTACTCTACCACTGCAACTGGCCCACTCTGATTTGAATCGATTGCCTTGTAATTTAAGACCCCCAGGGCATGGTTAACTTGTTTCAATCACCTATTAATGATTTCTTTCTTGATCCAATCAAAAGGGTTCAAATATGTTAAGAAATTACGAGGTCTAACCCATCTGCTTTACCCATTTCAAATTTCATCATCTTGTACTTACAGTAATTAGAATGGAGGTAGAACCTGATCCTTACATGTGTATCATTTTTCTTTGAAAATAATAGAAAAATGTTGATAAATGCCCCATGTGAAATGCATTGCTACATACTGAATATACCTATGAAATTCTATGGAAACTCATAGAATCAGTGTATATTATTGTCTACGCAGTATATCTTATTCACTACCCCTTTTTTCTGACTTGATGACATGGTGGGGTCAGTCAAGAGAGAGACCAAAGGAACAATGTCACTTTTTTCTTACTAACCAGAGATCTTAGATCAAAAAAAGTGAGTTGGATAACAAATGAACTAATCATGAAACTGTAGCTTCACCTTGATTAATGACCCATTACATCACGTCCAATTCAGACCTCCCACTTTAATATCAGCACAGAACCTCAACTATTTTTTTCCAGTCCTTTCTAGAGGCTACTAATTAGTTTTTGTCTCACACAGTTCTCCTTTCTGTTCCACAAGAAGTCAGTATGGTATAGTGGAAAGAACAGCATCTCAGACTCTGGGTTCAAATCTTGCCTTTAACACTTATTGCTCAAAGCTTCATTTATAAAATGAGAGAATTGGACTAGATGACCTCTGAGGTCCCTTCAAGCTTTATACCTCTAATTCCATATCCTATAACCTAGTTTCATTGGCCTGAAACTACAGCTGTCTTTTTGGCAATCCTAAGGAATGTTCCCGCATTACCTAGATCCTTCTTAAATCATACCCCTCTGCTTCAGTTTCTAAATTATTTTCAGATGCTGAAAATACTTCCTCTAGAGCAAGAGTTTGTAATCTGGGGTCCATCAACTTTTTACAAATATTTTTATAACTTTTCTTCAGCATGATTGTTTTCCTTAGTAATCTATTTATTTTATGCATATTAAAATACAATTCTGAGAAGGAATCTGTTGGTTTCATGAAATTGCCAAAAAAGTCTCCCACACACATGCACACACACACATCCTAAATTGCACACATGCATTTCAAGAACCCCTTCTACAGAGGTTCAGGATAGGGCTTATTATAACAAAGCCATCCAGGATAAGCATAAAAATGAGAGAGTATATGGTTTGGTAGTTATTTTATTTGTTCCTCAGCAACTTTTTGCAACATAATTTTGGAATGCCAATTTTAAGCCAATATTTGAATTGTTCACATCCTAGGTCAGCATCTCTTCAATAAAAATTTGTTCATTCAGCTTTCAAAAAAATTATGACATGGCTATTATGTGCAGAGCACTTCAGCTAAGCTCTGGGGAGGATGTAATGTTTAGGTAAGACACAGTCCCTGTGTTAACCATTTATATCTAATTAATCGGGCCTATCTCTTTAGAAAACAGGAAAAATACATCCAACTTTCCCACCCATGAAAGAATGGTCCTTCCTTCCCATGTGTTGACAATACTGCCACACAGTGGTGTTCTGCCACACACATGGCCTGAAGCCAGACACTGGGCAAGACCAGCAAACCTTACATTCAGAACTTCATTCCAGGAGCACAGCTGGGGCCTTAGCAATGCACTCTAACACTATTTTAAAATAAAATAAAATTAGTAAACTGCTTTAACTAGCAACCACATTATTTTTTAAAAGATATTACTATATGGCAAAAGCGGTCCAAAAAGCCAGTGAGGAGAAGAATGCCTTAAAAAGCAAAATTGGCCAAATGGAAAAGGAAGTCCAAAAGCTTACTGAAGAAAATACTTCCTTAAAAATTAGAATAGAGCAATTGGAAGCTAGTGACTTTATGAGAAATCAAGACACTGTAAAACAAATCCAAAAGAATGAAAAAATAGAAAACAATGTGAAATATCTCATTGGAAAAACAACTGACCTGGAAAATAGATCCAGGAGAGAGAATTTAAAAATTATTGGACTATCTGAAAGCCATGATCAAAAAAAGAGCCTAGACATCATCTTTCAAGAAATTATCAAGGAAAACTGCCCTGATATTTTAGAACCAGAGAGCAAAATAGAAATTGAAAGAATCCACCAATCACCTCCTGAAAGAGATCCCCAAAGGAAAACTCCTAGGAATATTATAGCCAAATTCCAGAGTTCCCAGGTCAAGGAGAAAATATTGCAAGCAGCCAGAAGGAAACAATTCAAGTATTGTGGAAACACAATCAGGATAACACAAGATTTAGCAGCTTCTATATTAAGGGACTGGAGGGCATGGAATATAATATTCCAGGGCAAAGGAGATAGGATTACAACCAAGAATCACCTACCCAGCAAAACTGAGTATAATCCTTCAGGGGAAAAAATGGTCATTCAGTGAAATAGAGGACTTTCAAGCATTCTTGATGAAAAGACCAGAGCTGAATAGAAAATTTGACTTTCAAATACAAAACTCAAGTGGAACATGAAGAGGTAAACAGGAAAGAGAAATCATAAGAGACTTATTAAGGTTGAACTGTTTACATTCCTGCATGGAAAGATGATGTTTATAACTCATGAGACCTTTTTCAGTATTTGGGTGGTTGGAGGGAAAAAATTGTATGTATGTATATATAGAGAGATAGATAGGCAGAGGGCACAGGATGAGTTGAAGATGAAGGGCTGATATCTGGAGAATAAAATTAAGGTGTGAGAGAGGATTATACTGGGAGAAGGAGAAAAGGGGAGGTAGAATGGGGTAAATTATCTCACAAAAAGAAAAGAAAAGGCTTTTCAGTGGAGGGGAAATGGGGAAGGTGAGAGGAATGAGTGAATCTTATTCTCATAGGATTTGGCTTAAGGAGGGAATAACATACACATTCAATTGGGTATGGAAATCTGTCTTACCCTACAGGAAAATAGGGGGAGAAGGGGAGAGAGCAGGGATGATAGAGGGAGGGCAGGTTGAAGGAGGGGGTAATCTGAGGAGGGACAGGGTCAAAAGAGAGAATAGAATAAATGGGAGGCAGGATAGGATGAAGGGAAATATACTTAGTTTTTCACAACATGACTACTATGGAAGTGTTTTGCATGACTACACATGTATAACCTGCGTCGAGTTGCTTGCCTTTTCAATGAGGGTGGGTGGGGAGGAAGAAGGGAGAAAATTTGGAACCCAAAGTTTTAAAAACACATGTTAAAAAAAATTGTTTTCACATGCAACTGGGAAATAAGATGTACAGGCAATGAGGTATAGAAATCTATCCTGCCCTACAGGAAAATAGAAGGGGAAGGGGATAAGAGAAGGGGGGAGAGATAAAAGGGAGGGCAGATTAGGGGAAGGGGTATTCAGAATGCATGCCATCTTGGGGTGGGGAAGGATGGATGAGATGGGGAGAAAATTTAGAACTCAAAATCTTGTGGAAGTGAATGTTGAAAACTAAAAATAAATAATTTTTTTTAAAAAAAATTTAAAAGATATTATTATAAATTCCAGACACAGAAATTACCTGGTAAGTAATTATGTGTGGCTGTCACTGATTTTCTCTTTCTTAATTTCCCTTAGGTCTTAATAATGTCAGCATCAGACTGGACCTAGAGACCCTGTTTCAGTTCAGCCATCTTATATTGACCTTTAAGGTATAGATGTCTAAGATCTGGTCCTTCCCTTATCTTGGACAATAATCAATGCATACTTATTTCATCTATACTATTTCCTTTTAGTTTATAGTGCTGCATATAAATCCAGACCTAAACCATCTTATTCTTTATATTCTCAATTAAAGGAAGAAAACTTAATGTTAAGGAAGAGGCATATGTGACTTGGGGGAGGAATCTTTAAAATGTGCTGTCCAAAAGGGATAGATATGGATATGGATGTGTATTATTGTAAGAGCTTTTATTTTCCCCAATGGGGAAATGAGAAGGCAAGGTCAGGGTGAGGAGGAACAAAGAAAAGGAAGAAGCAGAAGGAAGAAAATCACTGAGGCATCTTTAAAAAAAAAGCAGGGAAGGGAATAGAAAGAAGGCAAGAAAGAAGCATAGACAAGCAGGGCAGCTTTGAAAGCTGTAGGCTGAATTTACATACTTAAAAAGAAAAGCAAGCTATACATAATTTAGATCTGCAGTTTCATGCACAATCCTGTTTTGCTCTTCTTTCATGTATGTGGAAATTTTATTTGGTTTTTAATTTCAGAAATGTGTGTTTATAGCCAGCAACCCTGGGGATTGGAACTATAGAATATTTAAGCTGAAAGGGGTTTAAGAATCTACTCCAATCCCTTCATTTTATGGATAAGGGAAATATGACTCAGAGAGATAAGGAGACTGTGTTAAGGTGATAGATCCATTTATTGGTAGAGATGGGACTAGAGGCCAAATCTTTCAAGTATTAGTCTGGCACCCTACTGCTCCTATGTGAGAAGAAAGAGGGCCTGACAGATGATTAAGCAAAGGACATAGGAATGTGAATGTAAAGAATCAGTGCTTCTAAGTATTAGGAGACAGAAGATGAAAGGAGATTCGATAGATTTAGTCAGAGTCCCTGTCAAACTATTGTGATGATAAACCTGATTCCTAGAGTCCTAATCACAATCTTCCTTTGCATTTCTAAAGCATCTTTCTTACCAAACACTCAAAGCTTGAGTTTAATCATCAACTCGCCTATAGCCCTCACCACATATAATTTTGCAATTCGAAAACACCAGGATTCAATCTCAGATTAACACTAAATTCCACCTTTCTGAGGAAGGTTGTCGAAATCCTCTTTCACAGACTTTCCGACCCGCAGCCATGCTAGTTGAGCGTTCCGTGGACTATGGCCAAACATGGAAAGTTTTCAGGTATTTTGCAAAAGACTGCGCTGCATCTTTTCCCAACATCCCATCTGGCCAGGCACAAGGAGTAGATGACCTTGTTTGTGATTCCAAGTATTCAGATATTGAACCCTCTACTGAAGGAGAGGTACAATTCATTTGAATTTCTTTTGTTGTTGTCGTTTTTCAGTCATGTCCAACTCTTTGTGACCCTGTTTAGAGTTTTCTTGGTAAAGGTACTGGAGTGGTTTGCCATTTCTTTGCTCTGGCTCACTTTACAGATGAGGAAACTGAGGCAAATGGGGATAAACAACTTGCCCAAGGTCACATAGCTAGTAAGTATCTGAGGCCAAATTTGAACTCAGGTCTTCTCGACTCCACACCTGGCACTCTACCAGGGGTGGGGAACCTGCGGCCTTGAGGCATGAGTGACCCTCTGGGTCCTCAAGTGTGGCCAAATAAGTGATTCCAAAGTTCAAAGAACAAATTTGTGGTGTAATTTGATGTCATTTGTCCTGTGAAGTTTGGATTCAGTCAAAGGGCCACTCTTGAGGACATAGAGGGTCACGTGTAGCCTCAAGGCCACAGGTTCCCCACCCCTGTAGCCATTTCACTACCTAGCTGCCCTTTGGATTTATTTTATTTAAATTTAATTCTCTTTTCTGCCTATATGCTTGAGGTAGATCTGGGGAGAAATATTTGATTTGATGCTATTGAAACTTGGAAAAACATGAAAAGTTTCTAATTTTATATTAATCCTGAAATCATCTAAAACACAAACAATAAATGTATTGTAAGAAATAATCTCGGAGGCAAAGGAGGAGGGGGAGAAACACTGGGCAAAATCTAGGCAATATAAAAATAGAAGATATTGGTAAAACATATTTTAAAAAATTAATTTAACATTGGTAAGGAAATAGGCAAGTAAAGCAGAGCTATCTTTATGCTTCTCTATATTCTGGAGTTCTCCAGGGCTTCTGGATAAAAATTCACCAGAAACTTAGGAAATCTTTGCAGTGTATTCACCTTCCCCCTATCAGTTTTCAGTAAAGCCTTTATACTGTCCATGCTATATACTGCCCATAGAAGCAGTATATCTATGGAGGGCAATGCTCTACCTGAGACAGAATTGGAGCCCTTTCGGCAGCAAAGGTTAATATCCCAACACAAGAAAGCCTAGGTAATAATAGCACACACTGCTAACCAGGAGAGGCAGGGCCACGGGTTGCTACTTGCTCAGATTATAGCTCTTACTGGTAAGGGGGTCAAAAGGAAGTGTAATTTTTCCCAGCTGGAAGTGGGACTTGAAGCATCATCGGAAACAGAAACTACACAAGAAATCTCTGGAACTTTTTACTCTCTATGGAGAAGAGAGAGGCCAAGGACTTGTGGTAAGCCACTAGCAAGGAAAAATGCTGCTACCTCTAACTGAATATAATCATGTGCAGTTAAAGGTTTGTCTGGTTCACTGACCCACCTCAGCCATGATCTATCTGGACAAAATTTGCTATCTATACATTTTATTTATAAGAGGTTTTATGTGCAGATAAAGAGAAGTTTTTGTTATATTCTGAGCAAATATTTGCTGTGAAGAGTGGACTTAGGGATAATTAGGTGGTGAAGAGTGCTGGGCCTAGAGAATCAGGGAGACCTGAGTCCAAATTTGGCCTTCAGATACTTACTGGCTACATAACCCTGGGTAAGTCACTTAACTTCTGTCTGCCTCAGTTTCCTCAACTGTAAAATGAGGATAATAATAGCACTCATGTCCCAAATTTGTTGTGAGAATAAAATAAAATAATGTTTGTAAAGTACTTAGCACAATGCCTGGCATATAGCGGGCACTTAATAAATGCTTGTTTCCTTCCTTTCTTCTTTTTATACCACACTGCCTCTTATTATGTTTACAAAACATTGACCATATAAATTTCACCCTCTCTGGCATTCTGAGTAACTGAGTTGCAGTGAGTAGGCATTTTTGTGTGTTCAGATATATCTTCAATTGTGAATGTGAACTAAAATGTTGATAATTTGAACATATTTATTTTGTAGGTTGTTTTAAAAGCTTTGGATCCCAGCTTTGAAATAGAAAATCCCTACAGCCCCTACATACAGGGTATGAGCAACTTCGAATTTTTAATCCTTATCTTTTTGGTAGTGTTATGGTCTTGCTCTATTGACGCATCTTATTCTTCTATATTCCCTATTCCAAATTCCAATTTGATGGTATGTTTAATTGGATCTTCCCTGAATATTTAAAAAGAGGTTTGTCTTTTGCATTATTCATTCTGCCCAGGGCCCAGTGGAGCTGGTTAGGCTGTATTGTATTAGTCACGGAGACCCCAAACTAGGATAGATTCAATGCACCAAGGCCCAATTTTGGATGAATTCAGTATAAACCATTATCAGGGAAGGAAGGGGAATAAATGCCTTAATTTTATAGTAATTGTTGTTACCAAGTGTTGTATTTTAAACTGAATAGTTAAACACTTATCATTAATAATATACAGGATATAAATTGGCAGGCAAACCTTATTTTATTTTCTTTAAGCTTTTTAGACTCAGTAGATTTTTTTATTCCTTTTTGGGTTGTTGTTGTTATCAACTCAGGTGCACCATGGTTGGTGGGGTGCTAGAGGCTTTTGCCTATCACTATATATCCTTGCTAAGTGTTTGTATTTGGTAAAAAGGGTGTTGTTGTTGTTGGTAATATTTGTCTCATTGATTCAAATTGTCCAAATCTTGACCTTGTATTTGGGTGCACTCAGCCTAAATCCCCATTGATTAAGGATGATGTTTTGCATAGATACAGCTTATATGTCCTTCTGATTCATTTTCGTCGTTTTAGATCTAGTGACTCTTACAAACCTGAGGATAAACTTTACCAAACTACACACTCTGGGGGATACCTTGCTTGGAAGAAGGCCGACTGATCCCCTGGATAAGTATTACTATGCTCTTTATGATATGGTTGTTCGGGGAAGATGCTTTTGCAATGGCCATGCTAACAGATGTGGCCCTGTGCAGGATGTCCGGGGAGATGTCTTCAGCCCATCTGGAATGGTAAGTTCCAAACCCTCCTGATTTATTTCCTTTCATTATCCTGATAGGTCAGCATTGAGACGAATGCATGTCACCACTAAAGTGTTCTGAAACCAGCATGAAAACGCCTGTTCTTTGAGAAGGCAGATAGAATTCAACTCAGTTATGCAGACTTAATTGGTAACTCCATTGGGACCCATTTTCCTGCTCCCAAATGCTCCTGCTAATACTTCTGTATGCAAGAAGTAACTTCATAAAGTTCTTTTCCCCCTTGTTTCATAAGCATGAGAACACTCATACCTATACACATACACCCCTCAATTCTTTGCAATGATAACAGTTCTGAATCAACATGAGAATAAAAGAACAGTATTTCAGGACTAGAACTGATCTTTCAAGGGGAAGGGGGATCTTCACATTCATTTAGTCAATCATTTAATTCAACAAGTATTAATGAAATGCTTATGTGTTGAAGAATTGATTACCTGGAAAGTTTTTATTCTCACCGTAAATTAAGAAGTGGGTCTCTAGGGGGCAGCTACTTGACACAGGGAATAGAGAACCAGCCCTGGAGTCAGGAAGACCTGAGTTCAAATCTGGCCTCAGACACTTGACACTTACCAGTCCCTTAATCCCGGTTGCCTTGCAAAAAAAAAAAAGTAGGTCTCTAGTTTATAAATCAGCCCCTAGTTTATAAATAGTCAAAAACTAAAACAAAAAACAGAGCCTAGTGACCCCAGCAGTGTGCTGCCATTAGCAGAGGCCCTACCTATACTGCCCAGAGAGTTTCCTCCTGACAGTCTTCTCTTCTGTAGCAATTACTACCAACAAGTGCCAGGCAAAACAGCTTTCAGGGGTAAAGTTTTCGTTTTTTTTCTATGTTGTGGATCTTCCTGGTTCTTATCATTTGTCTTGAAAAATTGCCAGTATTATCGAAGTACAACAATGTGTTTTTAAGCTTGTCCCCAGGCTGTATGGCCCATACGTCAGTATCCAACAGCTTCTGGTTTCAATGGTGTAGGAAGCATCTCCAAGAGCACCGATCACAACCCATCTCTGACAGTTGATGATATTTGAGAGTTGCTATATCTGAAAAATGCAGTGCCCTGAAGCCTACCTGTCAATAAGCCACTTCATACTAAACTCAGTTGGTCCTCAAATGAAAGAAACACAAGAAATACCCCTGTCACTGGGGCTGTACGCAAAGCCTTCATGGCTTGAAATGGTCTGATAGGACCTGCCAGAGTGATAAATGTCATTGGAGTAGGACTGAAATGGAGGTTGCTGGTCTTAGCAGTGTGCCCTGCTAGTACCTTCCTCTCTGCCCTCTGAAATTACCCTCCATCTCTCCTATCTCTGTTCTCTGTCTCTGTTTCTCCCCCTCTCCCTCTCTCTCTTCCCCCCACCTCTCTTCTTCATTCCCTCCCTTCTCTCTCTCTGTCTTTATCTCTTTGTATGTGCTTCTGTCTTTCTCTCTTTCTGACTCTCTATCTTTCTATATATGCCTATATGTGTGTATATATTTATGTGTGTGTATGTGTGCATGTATATATATGTGTGTGTGTATGTGTGTACATGTAGGTGTGATATTTACATACACAGGGACACAGGTGTATGCATGTATACATACATACATACCTAACATACACAGGCACATACATATGCACACACATCTTGTTTGTGCCTAGTTTTTTATGTGATATTGCCCTCATTAGAATATGGAGCTTCAGGAGGGCAGAAAATGTGTTTGCTTTTATATGTATCACCAGTGCTTATCACAGTACCTGGCACCTGAGAAGTGCTTAATTAACCCTTGTTGGCTTGTAGTTTGAGTGAACAGGTCTTTAGATAGGAAGAAGCTGGTGCCTTATGCTGCTGATAAGCAAAGGAAAAATCACAGTTACTCACATTTCCTCCTCACAGGAAGAGAGGAGAGACAGAATTTGGGTGACTTTGGTAGTCAATCAGTAAGTGTTTCCCAGAAGAGAGACATGAGGAGAGGAAGATGTCCTGGTGTGGTACTTGCGTTGTCTCACCAAACATTACTCTCATCTCTCAGTCACCTGTACCTCACAGCTCAGCTGACTCCATCCAGAAACAGCAGACCACCAGCATTTCTGAAGCAGAGGATAGGAAAGCAGGTATCCAAAGACCAAATATGCCACTTGACCTTCCTGTCCATGAGGCACAAGAGGGAGAATGAACTCTCTCCTTCTGGCTTCTCTCTCCCAGAATTCTCCAAAAAATAGATCCAGAAAACTGAGTTCTGAAGACATCACCACACTAGTGAACTGTCTTCAGGTCTCTAATCTTCACTTTAGTGTCTCATTTCCAAAGCTGCTCTATTTGAGCTGAGAACTAAGAAATTCAGAGCTATGAGCAGAATCACAGAATTTTACATAGGGTTTTCATCCCACTGTCCATTCAGTCCAACTCATACCTCCCGCAAAAAGAACCCCCAATACAAGATACATAATAAGGGATTATCTAGCCTCTACTTTAATACTTTTAAAGAAGAGGAACCCACTCCCTCCCAAGGTAGCCTATTTTACTATTTAATAACCCTAATAGTTAACTTTTACTAATACAAAACTTGAATTTGCCTCTTTGCAAATTACTTCTTACTTCTCTCTGGGGCCAAATAGAACACTTAAAGAATACTTTGGGCGCGGAGCCAAGACGGCAGAATAAAAGCAGTGACTGGCTTGAACTCTCCCCCAAACCCCTCCAAATACCTATAAAAAATGGCTCTAAACAAATTCTAAAGCAGCAGAACCCACAAAAAGACAGAGTGAAACAAATTTACAGCCCAAGACAGCCTGGATGGTTGATCAGAAAGGTATATCGCTGAGTGGGGAGAGCAGTACAGTTTGGCATGGGCGCACAGGCAAGGCAGGCCTCAGTGAACCTGGAGCAGGCCTCAGAGGACTGAATCACAAGCAGCTGTGGCGGTTTCCAGACTTCTCAACCCATCAACACCAAAGACAACTTAGAAGGTCAGTGGGAAAAGTCTGTGACTGCAGTGAGAGAGAGAGAAGAGCAGTCCCTGTCCCTAAGCTTGAGCTCAGCCCCAGGGTAGCAGCTGCTTCCTGAGCTTCCAGCCCACAGACTTAGGGGGAATCGAGTGGCTGATCAGAGGGGGATTGTAGGGATCTCTCTGCTGGTGCAGGATTCTCTTGCTTTGCCCATGCTTGGATCTGGGTCACAGTTCTGGGTGGTGGTCCTGGGGCAAAGAGGAGTGATATAGTGGTGGTGTAGAGATAATCCTTCTCACAGTTCCAAGACAGAAAAGAGTATTTGTGGTCACTTATAGACCACAGCACAGGTCAGGAAAGGAGTAAACACCTCGCCATTGATCATATACCATCTTGGAAGAACTGAAAATTTACACTTCCTTAGAAATATCTCTGAAAACAGCTGCACAAAACTCCTGAAGCTTCGTATAGTACACTCTCCACACTGGAAGCCGACTCCTATCTTAACAAAGAGTTTAAAACTCAAGTAATCGGCTGAGATCATGAATAAAAAAAGGTCCAAAAAAAGTCAGACCATAGAACCTTTCTTTGGTAACAAAGAAGATCAAAAACACAACCAGAAGAGGACAAATAAAGTCAAAGCTCCTACATCTAAAGCCTCCAAGAAAAATATGAATCAGTCCTAGACCATGGAGGAGCTCAAAAAGGAGTTTGAGAAACAAGTAAGAGAAGTAGAGGGAAAAACTAGGAAGAGAAATGAGAGTGATGCAAGAAAATCATGAAAAATAACTCAACAGCTGGAGACCCAAAAAAATACTGAAGAAAATAACACATTAAAAAATAGCCCATCCCAAATGGCAAAAGAGGTCCAAAAAGCCAGTAAGGAGAAGGATGCCCTAAAAAGCAAAATTGGCCAAATAGACAAGGAAGTTCAAAAGCTTACTGAAGAAAATACTTTTTAAAAATTCAAATGGAGCAAATGGAAGCTAGTGACTTTATGAGAAATCAAGATACTGTAAAATAAATCCATAAGAATGAAAAAATAGGGGCAGCTAGGTGGCACAGTGGATAGAGCACCAGCCCTGGACTCAGGAAGACCTGAGTTCAAATCTGGCCTCAGACATTTACTAGCTGTGTGACCCTAGGCAAGTCACTTAACCCGAATTGCCTTAAAAAAAAAAACCTAAAAAAAAGAATGGAAAAAATAGAAAACAATGTGAAATATCTCATTGGAAAAACAACTGACCTGGAAAATAGATCCAGGAGAGAAAATTTAAAAATTATTGGACTATCTGAAGGCCATGATCAAAAAAGGAGCCTAGACATCATCTTTCGAGAAATTATCCAGGAAAACTGCCCCAATATTTTAGAACCAGAAGGCAAAATAGAAATTGAAAGAATCCACCAATCACTTCCTGAAAGAGATCCCCAAAGGAAAACTCCTAGAAATATTGTAGCCAAATTCCAGAATTCCCAGTTCAAAGAGAAAATATTGCAAGCAGCCAGAAAGAAACAATTTAAATACTGTGGAAACACAATCAAGATAACACACAATTTAGCAGCTTCTATATTAAGGGACCAGAGGGCATCGAATATAATATTCTAGGGCAAAGGAAATAGGATTACAACTAAAATCACCTACCCAGCAAAACTGAGTATAATCCTTCAGGGGAAAAAAAATGGTCATTCAGTGAAATAGGGGATTTTCAAGCATTCTTGATGAAAAGACCAGAACTGAATAGAAAATTTGACTTTCAAATACAAAACTCAAGTGAAACATGAAGAGGTAAACAGGAAAGAGAAATCATGAGTCTTATTAAGGTTGAATTGTTTACATTCCTGCATGGAAAGATGATATTTGTAACTCATGAGACCTTTGTCAGGATTAAGGTAGTTAGAGGGAAAATAAGGGGGGAAGGGGACAAGAGAGCAGGGGGTTGATAGAGAGGAGGGTAGATTGGGGGAGGGAATAATCAGAAGCAAACCATTAATGGCAACTAGATGGTACAGTGCATAGAGCATCAGACCTGGAGTCAGGAAGAGTCATCTTCCTGAGTTTAAATCTGGCCTTGGATGTTTACCAGCTGTGTGACCCTCGACAAGTAACTTAACCCTATTTGCCTCAGTTTCCTCGTCTGTAAAATGAGCTGGAGAAAGAAATGATAAACCACTCCAGTATCTTTCCAAGAAAACCCCAAATGGGGTCATAAAGAGTTGGATATAACTGAAACAACTGAACAACAACATTAATGACTACTCTTTGAATCCACTTGTTCAACTAATTTTTAATTCATGTGATCATACTGTCATCTAGCCCATACTTTCCCATATTTAATTAAATTTGAATGATTTACTATTTATAATCATATCAGACTAGATGATCTTATTCACTGTTAGCTCCATTTATTAGTCACCATCAGTAGAGTTGTTGTTTAGTCATTTTTCAGTGTTGTCTCACTCTTCTTTTGGGGTTTTCTTGGCAGCGATACTGGAGTGGTTTGTCATTTTCTTCTCTAGCTTACTTTACAAATGAGGAAACTGAGGCAAACAGGGTTAAGTGACTTGCCAAGGGTCACTCAGCTAGTAAATGTCTGAGGCCACATTTGAACTCAGGAAGATACAGTAGAATTAGCAAGACTTTATTTGCACTTTGAACATGTTCCACTGAGGGGCCTAAAAGGCTCTACTCTCCTGTTTCCACCTTTTCATCCATCTTGCTAAGTATTTTGTCAACACTCATAAACCGAAGTGCTATGTTGAAAATCTTTTTAAACTTCATCCTATTTCAGACCCCAAAAATGGCAAAATACATAAACCAAACCCAGGCTGAGAACAGGAATCTTAATAATTTTTTTTTAAATGGGAAGCAGGGAAGTAAAGACTGGAAAGGAGATAAAGATGTTTTAGAAGAAAGGCCAACTGTGACATCCTTAGAAGGGCCTGAGTAAAAGATAACTTTATGAAGCTAATGTGGAATTACCTCCTTATTCCTTCAGTTAGTTGCACATCATTTAGTTCCTTTCTTTCTAGATACTGTCTCATCACAAATAATTTCTCTGGGAGAATCATTACACCTCAGACATATCCTTGACCTTGGTGGAGGGTAAAGTAGAATCGGTTCATCAGGTTGTATATTGATTTGGCATTGATTCTGATGGCTCAGTCACATTGGCAGATAAATATTCTTCCTCTACTATACTCCCTAGAGTAATATGAAAATGAACTATTTAAGGTTTAGGTAGGTCTTGACCATTCTTATGAGATAAGAAGGGATAGGTGGAAAAATCTATAAAAAGCATTTTGCAAACCTTAAAGTGCTATATAAATTTAAGCTATATAAGTTTATTATTGTTGTTATTCTCTTCCATCTTAGATATAGGAAAACCAAACTATCCAAAAGTTAAGTGGCTCCCCAGTCTAGAACCTCAGTCTTCTAATTTGCGATCCAATTCTCTATCTTTTGCTGAAAATGGCCATTCACTAGGCTGGTTCCAGTGCGTCTTCACTGTACGCATTAAATGGGCCACAGCTTTGAAAGTTCTGTCAAAAGATAATATATTTTTTCCATAAAAAAAAGCCACCAAGGACAATCCATTTTTATAAAATACTTGTTTCTTTCTCTAAACCAGGTTCACGGTCAGTGTATCTGCCAGCACAATACAGATGGTCCAAACTGTGAGAGATGCAAGGAATTCTTCCATGATGTTCCCTGGAGGCCAGCCGAAGGTCTCCAGGATAATGCTTGCAGATGTAGGTGAAAATATATACTCAGCCTATGTTAAGGGTAGTATATAGTTCATTTGTATGGTACTACACAGGGCAATGTTGGTATAATTCCATGACTCCCAGACATGGTTTTTCAATTTCCAATTGTTTGGAGTGCTGTTTTAAATTTCTCAAATCTTTGAAACAAGATGAACTTTTAATTCAATTCAATTTTTTTTTTGTGAGGCAATTGGGGTTAAGTGACTTGCCCAGAGTCACACAGATAGTAAGTGTTAGGTGTCTGAGGCCAGATTTGAACTCAGGTCCTCCTGACTCCAAGGCCAGTACTCTATCCACTACACCACCTAGTAATTCAATTTTTTTTTAAAGTCATGCTAGGGTATCTAAGTGGTACAGTAGATAGAGTGCCAACACTGGAGTCAGGAGGACCCGAATTCAAATCTGGCCTCAGATGCTTACTAGCTGTGTAACCCTGAGCAAGTCACTTAACCCCAATTGCCTCTTAAAAAAAGGTATGCCATCTTGCCCTTTTAGGAGAAGGAACACAGGCATTATACAACTGGAATAAATGATGGTAGGATGTCACAGGTCTAAGAATGCACACACTGATCCCAGCTCCTTCTTCAGATGCCATGCATTTACCCCATCCAGCTGCGTGAAACTGAGCTTGCCTCACTTCCTAACAGCAGGAGATAAGAGCTCAGCACATGAGCAAGACAGGCTTTGGCATTTTACTGTAAATAATGCTACTCTAGAATTATGATGAGCATGCAAAACAAAGGCAAAGGCTTCCATTCAGCTTCCCAAGAAATTTAAACATAAAAAATGATCAGGCAAGTATTTACATTGCAAAAGTTAAAATATGTTTAATCCTGTTTTGATTGGACAGAAGGATGGACTGTATGAAATGTATAACTCTTCCAAAGTATTCAAAATATGATTGAGAAGTGTTAATTTAATATTTTACTTATTTGATATCTATTGGGCACAACCTAGACTTAGAATCATAGTCTCAAAGATTGCTAGGGCTAGGAGAGACCATAAATATGATCTAGTCCAATTCCTCAAATCTTCAGTTGATCTCAGTAAGGAAAGCGGAGCAACTAAATGCCTTCTAGAGATGGAGGAGGAAATTGCAGTCCAAAGGTTTTTCTTCTAAGTCAGGCTTGTTAGTTAATTAACTGGGACCTTAGATAAGTTTAATTATTTCTTCTTTTCTTTCCATAGCATGTAATTGTAACGGCCACTCTGAACGCTGTCACTTTGATATGTCACTGTACCTCTCAAGTAATGGTGTCAGCGGTGGAGTGTGTGAAGACTGTCAGCACAATACTGTGGGACAACACTGTGATCAGTGCAAACCCCTGTTTTACAGGGACCTCCTCAAGGCAATTTCAGACCCTCATGCTTGCATTCGTGAGTGGACAGTTCTTTGATCATCTTCTTTTAAGAACTTGTTAAGCAAGCATTCCAAACTCTACTGTATCAGAACTGTAACTAGTGTGGAGAAAATGGGGCTTTAAGCCAAGGCTCCAACATTTGAAGGGTACAAAATGTTAAAGAATGTGCTCCAGCTGCATAGAAACCACTTTGGTCACTAATCTCCCCCTCCCTCTCATTCAAGCGACTTATTAATTGTTTCTTGTTTTATTTTCACATCATGAATTACAAAACTGATTTGAGAGAACAGTTCATACTGTTTGCCCAAAGTGTATTTCATGCAGCTTATCCTGAGTGCCAAATTTACTAGTTATGGCAGCTCTGCAGAGGATGAGAACATATTCTTTGGAGACTTTCCTTCTTCAGATAGTAAATGAAGTGGGAATGACTTTGAGCCAAACAATATGGTTTCATAGTGGTATGTCCCAGCAAGGCTATTTCTCTCGGTAAGTCCTAATCTGTACTGACTTCAGCTTAAGGACAACAGTTAGTTTCAGAACAATCAGCATGAACCATAGAGACAGTCTGTAGACCCTTCAGATGAACTCAGGAAAGTACCTGAGAGTTTAAGTGAAACATTGTCTTTGGATGATCCGTTTTTCATGTTAAGGTACTGCCAAACCATAGCTTTTTTTAAATTTTGTGTTTATTATTAGCCAGTTTTTCTTATCATGTAGCTAAAGTAGAAATTCTGAGAACCCCTTTGACCACAGTGATTTCATGCAATCTTGGCTGGCTCCTCCCCACCCCAACCCCCAGCTGTATTTACTCATTCAGTTTCATATATGTGAACAGTTTGACTTAAATTTCAATGGCCTCATAGGTTACTCCCCAGACATTCATAAAAGTGATTGAAAAATTACCTGCTGGGAATCTCAAATGTCAACTGTTCTTGGCTAGGTGTAATTCAACTCAGCAGTTTAGGTTCCATATTGGTACAGCACTCAGCAAAAGGACATTTACTTAGCCATAGCGGGGGAAGAATATTCAACAAGGGTATACATTGAGGTATGAATTGACTCAGCTGAGTAAAGCTCTTCTGCCGTTGAGTTGTCCATCATCGTCAAGCAGCCAGGCTTCAGAGCATGCCCAGAGCTCCTCATGGCTATTCTGTACTCAAGTGACCAGGAAATGATACCAATAGCATGAGCTTTTAGTTCCTTGAGCCAATTAAATCTCAAGGATGGTTTCAATATTTTTTATGGAAAAATTTACATAGTTTGCATGGAAGCAGGTGGTTAGGATTTTGCTCCCACCATACCAACTATAAATCAGTTTCTTCATATGGAGGAATGGAGACAATCATTTTTATACATTTACTTTATGGAGTTATAAGGAAAAGTATACGTGAGTTAATATCATCATTATCTATCAGTTAAACTATCAACAAGTATTTCTTAAATACCTACTATGTGCCAGTCACTGTTCTAGTGCTGGGGAAAAAACTTAATATAAAACTGGTACAGAGACTGGACCTGTGATCTCATTGATATAAGGAACTGCCAAGTAAGGAAATCCCCTCTATTAATGTAGGTCAACCTTCTCAGCTACTTATAGTATTAGAGAATTTCCAAAAGTGAGGAGACATTAAGTGACTTGCCCAGAGTCATACAACCACAATATGTTAGAAGTGAGTGAGTCTTGAACCAAGGTTCTCCTGGCTTCAAGGTTGGCTCTGTAGCCATTCTTCTGCCTCTGGCACAGAGTAGGCACTTACTGAGTGCTTGCTGATTTATTAATTAATTGTTAATTAGTCAGTTTCAAAGTCATGCAAGGATTGATCAAGAGAGTTTGAGTTTCTTCAGTAAAGATGAATAACAAGCTAGCGAGGATTCAGTCCCAATTCTAAATCTCCTAGCCTCTATTACTATTAACCTAAGGTAACCTTGTATGTGTTTGAGAAAAAATATGTTGACATTAAGTAATAATTTGAAGGAAGTGGGGTTTTTGTTGTTGCTGCTGCTGCTGTTGCTGTTAGAGCCTAGATACTAGTTTGATTGGGTTTCAGATAAAAGGTTAATTGATTTCCAGTTTTCTGGGAGGACCACTTTTGTTCAAGCTTAAACAAGAACCAAGGACTCCATCAGTAGCCTCATCTGTAATAAATGTTCCTTCGAATAATGTCATGTGGTATTGATAGACATCTTTGGCCTTGCATCCTTGTCTCCATGTAGGAGGGTTATTTCTAAGTGAAGTTAATCCAAAAAACTTCCAAACTATTTTCTTCTACATGGGAATGAAATGACCCCCTGGAATTCAATTCTGCTGTTTTTGTGTTTCTCCAAGAGGAGTTGAGTCTGCTTCCTTTCGGTCATTCCTAAAATGAATTCATTTTGATCCTCCTATTCTGGAGACAACTGGATTGAATTAGGAGGAAGTTGTGGTTTTGCAACTCTAAATAGGACCTGGTGCTGTTTTTCCATATTTTATTATGTCTAGAGTACATAACACCATAACAAAGAATGAAGTAAAAATGTAGTCATTCAAGTGAATGGTTTGTTTCAGTGATACTAAGATAACTAGCCCAAATGAAGGTTTCCACTAAATTGAGTCATTGATGTATAAACAAAACCTTGGATTGCCTTTTTTTTTAATTAAGCTGATAAAAACCAAGTTTCTATCCATTTAAATTCATTTTTTTAAAAAGACAGTTCTCTGGGGCTACACAAGTTTCTTTTAGGGAGACTTGAGGTTACTTTCCCCTGAGAATAATGTTCACTACCTAATGGTCATGGAGTTAAGGAACTTTAGCCCAATTTCCAAAATCCTATCATCTCACCTGGCACCTTACCAGCAAATTCTCCAAAGAGGTCAATGATTCCATCCTTCTAAAGAGTGAATTCTCCTTTCATTCCCAAAAATAGTTCACTTGAGTTATATAAGTTTCTTTTGGAATTAGCGAGTGGAGTGATATGTGTACTGACCTTAGCAAATGACAACTGTTTTTGATAGGGAGAAAAGATTTTCTTAATATTCCATTTAATCCAATTTACCATTTATAAAGAGGCCTGGTACCTACAAGGTACTTACTATAGGTACCTACCTATAAGGCATTGTCCTATGTGGTTGGGCTACAAATAAAAAAAACCCAAAAATACAGTCCCTGCCCTCAAGGAACTTATATTCTTCTGAAGTTCTTAAAAGGTCATAAACTACATCTGTTGCCATCAGATTTGTAACAAATGGTACCAAAGCAAGAAAGGTACAATGTTAGAGAGGCTGACAGAAATGCATTTAGATATCATTGATCATGAAATATTCACATTCTGAACACATTCAGCAGAAAAAAAGTAGATTAATAAATACTTAGAATACAAATGCATTACAAATAATCAGTGCTTTTGAAGGACCAGTGACATGTGAGGTTTCTCTGTAAGACACCATACAAGTGTAACCCCAGTCCCAAACTCTACTGTAAAAGCTCCATTGTGATACAAAAGGGGTCACCCTTGACCACTTGGCTGGCCATAAAGGAAGGTGCACAAGGGAAAGGACAAAACACATCTACTTCATGTCTTTGTGCAAGTAGCTTTAAAATCATTGTGCACATATCTGTGTTTTCAGCTTGTGAGTGTGATCCTGAAGGGTCACTGTCTGGTGGCATGTGTGAAAGTTATCCAAATCCAGCCCTGGGAATCGAGGCTGGTCGATGCCTTTGTAAAGACAATGTTGAGGGAGCCCAGTGTGATCAGTGCAAGCCTGGCTATTATGGACTGAATGCCAATGATCCTTTGGGTTGTCAACGTAAGTAAAGAACTGAGTTATTGTTTTCTTTTAATTACATCTCTTATTGCCAATGGCTATACCTCTTGGAGAACCATGTTCTTAGCTAACCAGTCTCTGAATTTCTCTGTCTCTGACATTAAAGGGAATTCTTGGTGATTTTTTTAACTTAACATAAAAGGTCAGCATGCAAATTTTATTCTTTCCTTTCCCTAGTAAAAGAAAAAAAATGGGAAAATGTCCAGATATTTAATGCTAAGCTTCAAAATATTTAAACCAGTGGGCTCCTTTGGAGTCTTCCTGAGAGTTGTACCAAAATTCATGGAATATCTAGAAGGGCCACAAATATAACTGCACAAAAATCTACACACAATTTATATATATATATATATATATATATATATATATATATATATATGAAGTACATTCTCAGGGAGCTTTGAAATCCCAGTTTCATAATTAGATCAAATGTAACCATTTATGTAAAGCATTTTGGTATCTAAAATTTATTATTATTATTACAACCTTTAGGCTGTTTTTCTTGATTTGTCCTCCCTTTTTTCTCTTCTTTCCTATTCACTATTATTGATGCATAGAAAAGGATGTGGCATAGTGGATAGGGAGCTGAGCTAGCAGCTAGGAAGATCTGGGTTTGTCTTGCCTTTAAAACACATTGGCTGTGTGAACTTGGGTGAATGACAACATTTCAGTGTGCAAGGAAACTCTTTAAGACAATAAGTTGCAAAGAAGGTGCTGGCTTGAATTGGTAGAAGGACTTTCCTCATCTGGGAGTTCCATATGCCATTGAAATCACAGGTCCAGTTCCTATCCCTATTTTAGAAGCAGTTAACCTATACCTGTGGTGACAGTACATCCCACATTTTTCAACAATCTTGATATCAAAAGAGAAAGGTTTTTTTTAATGTATTTGTCAGGTATCCTTATTGATAGGGTTATTATATAGTACACATTCCAATTATACATTTAAATCTTCTGCATTATAAATATAATTGGCATAGAATGCAAAACTTATTACATGAAAAGAACATTATTCTAAACCCTATATTAAACATGAGAAAAACACAGCACATTTGTGAAAATAAATTTGCAGATAAATTTGCTATTTATAAAAATACTCAAGTATTTTTAATAGCTGTTTAAAGCTTGCCACACTTAAAGTTTAACTGTGTGGCTTACCTTAAGAAGATGCACTTTTAACAAGGCTTTACAGAAGGAATATCCGTTGTCAGAGCATGTATCCTGATTTGAAGTTTGGAAAATACCTGTGACAGAAGTCTATGCCAAGAAAGGTAAAAATTAAAAGCCAGAGATACAGCAGGGGAGGTAATGAGAATCATCAATCACAAAAAATAAGAGAATGCTGATTTGTAAGCACAGAATTTTAGAACTAAAAGAGAGCTTTATGATTAATATTTATTTAATAAGAGTTCACAAAGCAAACAATTTGTATTTGGGCACTGTTTAACTCTCTAAATTTTGCCTATATAAGGAAGAATGTTATTTGAATCTTTAGAAAGCAATAAGCTGGAATTTTGTATTTAGTGAAAACCGAATTTCATGGAAATGAATTTTGGCCAAGCCATTCTTCTATCTCATCTGTATCAACTCACCTGTCTGGTTTTCAGTAACCTTAGGAGGAATCTTACACTTTTCTTACTTCCCTGAGCCTTAGGTTCTTTATCCAACAGCAAAGCAGACAAGACTTAAGTTCATCCTTCCTAAATATTTATTTCACATGCAGTAGAATTTACAGGGCTAGTATATGTCTTTCCAAGACAGGGTTTAGTGACCTCTTAGCCCTGACGGCCAACACTGAAGCTTAGGAATACTGAGGAGAAGGAAAAATGGAAGAGAAAGAAAGGAAGGAAGAGAAGGAGGGAGGGAAGGAAGGGGGAGAGAAAGTGAGAGAAAGGGAGGGAAAAAGAAGATATATCTAGTGAAGAGTGGTAGACAGTTGCCTACAGTTGATTGCCTACAATTTTCCCCTCAGTATTAAATGACAATATTTATAAAAGTGCTTAGGAAGAGTAGGTGCTATATAAATACTATTCCCTTCTCCCTTCCTTCCCCTTTTCCCCTTTCTCTTTCATTAATTTAAATTACCTAGCCCATCAGTCATTTTTCAGCTGCAATATATCCCTAAATTCCTCTACTCTGATCATTGGTTAGTTATCTAAGAGCTTTGAGGGTGATTGCCATTATATTTCCTGCATGGTTTTATTCAGGACTCTAATCAATGCAGATGGTAAATTTGGCAAGGCAGATTCTATTTTTATTTAATGTAAATGTTGATCATATTTATAAAGATAGAAAAGTAAACAGGAGAATGATTGTGTATTCCATCCTTTCAGCCTGCAACTGTAACCCCTTCGGGAGTGTACCATTCTCCACCTGTGATGTGGTTACTGGCCAGTGTTTTTGCCAGCAGTTTGCTACTGGACTCCACTGTGAAGAATGCCTCGTATGTACTTTTATATAAAAGATTTTCCTATGATTTCTTTCATTACCAACTATGTATATTTCTACCTTAACTGATAGAATAGCAGAATCTTCTTTATACTTTACACCTGTTTACTTACCTCTTATCTGTTGTTTTACTTCAGATTGGGTGCCACTGGAAGTGATTATGTTAGAGTATTTGAGATTTGCTTTTACGTGTAAAAATACACTTAAAATTGTTTCTAACACCTTTTTAGTAAGCTAAAAAGTGGTCTTGTGTCAGAATGGGCCAGCCTTGCCCTTAGGGAAAATGAGATACTGAAATGGCATGTATATGGAGGTGGGGGTATATGTGGAGATAAGTAATGAAGTGGGGGAGGAAAGTAATAATTCTGCTGAAGGATTTGCCTTCCTATCACAAGGTATTGGAGTGGAAGTCATCATTTGAATTGACTTGGGTCAAGAGTTTCTAGTTTTCTAGGCTGGGTCAAATAGAAGAATCAGTTTGGAGAAGAAAGACTGGCCTTTCCCCTTTCCCTAATCCAGCCCTATACTACCACTTTAAGAACAATAACCTTCCACATTCCTGACTTTTGAAATGGCACAAAATGCCCCCTGCAAATTAAATACAAGTTTTCTTTTATGAAATGAACATCTGGGTATTTTCAGATATTCACCAAATGTGCATAGTATAGCAAAATAAGTGGAATAAAAAGTATTTTTCAGGATATAAGTATTTTGCTGTGGTTCCAGTAAACCTCAAACTGGCTTTTTTTTTATTCTTTCCAATGTGATAGCCTGCCATTATTTTACAGAAAGAAAAAAGCTTAATCCCCCAAAAGGAATAGTGACCTTAATGTGTCTGAATAAATTTGGTTGATAAATAAGAAAAGTACGCCTGTTTGGAGAGAGTTGTATGTTAAATATTGAAGTGGAATCACATTTTTTAACAAGAAAAGAATTCATGGGAATAAATGTGAAGGAACATGATGGAGAGGCAGGAGGGGGGAAGGTGGGTGTTAAGGTAAACACTGGAATTTTTTATGGACAAGCCATGCTCAACATATTTGCTTACCTTAGAAACTCATGAAAAACATTTGCTGCAACTATGTTTATAAAGCACAGAATTCAAAATTCAGAGAATTTGGAGCTAGAATGGATTTTAGAGATCATTTATTTTGAAAGTTCTTAACCCTTTGTGTGTGTGTGTGTGTGAGTGTGAGATGTGCCCCTTTGAAAGTCTGATGAAGCCTTTGGACCCCTTCTCAGAATAATTTTTTAATGCGGAGTATGTAATATCTAGACTCAAAAAAGAAATCAAGTATATTGAAATATAGTTAACAAATAATATTGTTTTAATTAATTGTTTTTAATTACAGACTCTAGAACCTACCATTTATTCTAATAGTGTCATTTTATAGATGAAACTGAGGCCCAGAGAAGAGCAATTAGGCAACATATTATACAGGGTTGGATTTGGGGTCTAAGTACTTAGGCTCACATCCTGTAGTACTTGTTACTTAGTAACTATGTGTTGTCAGTGTTCAGTTGTGTCTGACTCGATCCCATTTGGTGTTTTCTTGGCAAAGATATTGGAATGGTTTGTCATTTCCTTCTCCATTCATTTTACAGATGAAGAAACTGAGGCAAACAGGGTTAAGTGACTTGCCCAGGGTCACACAGCTAGTAAGTGTCTGGGGCCACATTTTAATTCAGGAAGCAAAGTCTTCCTGACTCCAGAACCAGCACTCTATCCTCCATGCCACCTAGCTATCCCTATACCTTGTAGTCTTAAACAAGTCACTAGACCTCTCTTGGCCTGTAAAATTAGAAGATTGGATTAAATCTATAAGGTCCTTTAGGAAGACGATCAATGTTTGTGATTGCATTGATATAGAGAACTCCCATTAAAGAAACTCCTCCTTACCCATGCTGGTGGCACCTTCTCTGAAACTTAAGAATCTTAGTCTTCTAAATCAGTGAGAAGTTGAGTGATTTGCTCAAGGTCACACAGCTAGTATGTTTCACAGACAAGACTTGGACTCGTGTCTTCTTGGCTCTAAGCCCAATGCTCTATCCATTATACCACGCTATCTCTCATAAGGTCCTATAAAACTCTGAATTTATGATCCTATGATACTAAGAGGTATCAAAGTCACACAGAAAGGTAGCATAATCAGGATACATAATCAGGTCTTTGAATCCCAAATCCACTGCTCTCTCTACTTGCCAAAACTACCCAAATAAAGATCTGGCAGATATTAGATTTTTTTTTCACATTTCATTTTCTTTTTTAAAATTTGTTGTGTCATGAACTTGATGAACACCAATAAACATGAATAAATAAATATGAACATTTTCATATACAATGAAGAATAGAAAAAGAGGATTTTACATGAAATGGTGAATTGAAATGGTGACTATTGCATACACCTTGGACTTTAAAATATTATATATGTATATTTACATGGTTTCCCAAAATTCTTAGTATAGATTTAGCTTTTTGCAATACCCTGTATAAAATATAAAATGTATATTTTGTTATGTATTATTTATACAAAATATATTAATACATGTTCTATATTAATACAATACAGTTTATGTTATAGACTATATTATATTAATAGTATTTATTAGACATAATAAAATGTTATATAAGTTACATATAATATATAAAATAATCCCAAAATTCTTCATGTATTTTTTAAGCTTTAATATATAGCATAATATAGCAATATGATACAACATAATAGCTGTGTGATGTTATATATAGATTATTTTACATATAGTATGTTATGCAAGGTGCAGTTTTAATCTCCCTCTTTATTCTGAAGTCAAGCAGCAGGGATGGGAAAATGTGTCAGCACAGATTAAAAATGGTGTTTTAAGGGGCAGCTAGGAGGTGTAGTAAATAGAGCTCTGGCCTTGGAGTTAGGAGGACCTGAGTTCAAATCCGGCCTCAAACACATAATACTCACTAGTTGTGTGACTCTAGGCAAGTCACTTAACCCCAGTCACCTCACCAAAAAAAAAAAATTATGGTTTAAGAGGTGTTCGGTTACATTCCATACTATAGTTTGTTGACATTGCTTGGCTTTTTGATGCTTCCTTACTGAATTGCAAAGACTTTTACGTGATAGTCCATAATAACAAATGTTTATATACCCAAAATCACCCCTTCTTTTTCATTCTAGGTTGGATATTGGGGACTTAAAAATAATCTACGTGGTTGTTCTCCTTGTGACTGTGATATTGGGGGTGCTTATAGCAACCTGTAAGTTAATGAAACGGATTATGGCATTTCATTATTATATTCTTCACCCACATTCCCACATAAAATACATGTTTTGTACAGGTTATTCAAACATTACTATAACCTTGAATGTCACTGTATTGGGAAAGAATTAATTGATCTAGATTAGTCACTAACTTAATTGATTGATCTTTATTATTTTCAGTTGTGTGTGAACAATTGTACTGACCAGATGATGGTCATAGTGCAGGAGTGGGTGGGGAGGGAAGAAAAAAAGAAAGAAATTTACATAATTTTGTTGTGCATTTGAAAAGAGCAGCAAGTCATGTATAGTAGATTTGAAGTTTCATGCATAATCATCCTTTTTATGTACTATGTTATGGAAATACTTATTTTATTCCATAAATTAAAAATAAAAAGTTTTAAAAGTTGATTGTATTGATAGCCAAAAATAGGGAGACAACGCTACTTCACACATTCCATTAAAATGAGGAAATCTTAGCTTCCCTGTGTAAAGGTAAAGAAACTGAGGCATAGGAAAGGAGCCAAGGTAGTTTCTCATAGTCACTGAATAAGTAACAAGGCTTAATTTTCATTTCAAGACCCAATCCATTGAACCCCATAGTTTCTATGCACTGTCCCATACATCTATTATTTCTTCTTTATGCTGTCAATGAGCAATTCCCTTCTTTTTCTTCCTTGCTTTTTCTATTAGGTGTTCCCCCCATGACGGGCAATGTGAATGCCGCCCTCATATTATTGGCCTCCAATGCACAGAGCCAGAACCCGGCTACTTCTTTGTGCCTTTGGATTTCTATATCTATGAAGCTGAGGATGCCATGCCCATCTCTGGATCTGCACCTTTGGTCTGTACTTTATTCTTACCATTGGAATGAATGTTAGTAAATATATACCCACCCATATACACACCAGCATGCCCTCTAAAACTGTATTTGAAATATATAGAATACAATCATTTTTGCTCCATAATGGAGGTTTATTTGAAATCCATTAAAGCCTAAAAATAAAATTACTTTTATTCAATTAAATATTTGTTAAAACTTACTGGGTGTAAGGTGAGATATAAAAGTTTTCATAGTCACTGCACTCTCATAGACAGACAAGACCAGTATACTCATAACAGATAACACTATAAGGCACATTATAATAAAATCCAAAATGTTTTTTATTCAGATGTTAAATGCTATGAAAATTCAGAGAGAGATGAATGGAGGTTGGATGCCTGAAGAGATTATCCTTGAACTGAGATTTGAAAGATGGGTAGGATTTGGATAAGCAAAGAAAACCAGAAAGAATTTCAAGGGTTGGGTCACAAACTAAGCAGTTTCCCAAAGTTGTTTTATAGATTTTTTTTTTGCAACTAAGTCTTCCTAGATTATACAGTGTTTCCCCAAAACATAAGTGTAGTTTTAAGTTTTAATAGTTTTGATAATTTAAAACTGCGCTAAAATTTTTGGAACATTGCATTTTTCTAAGGACCTGTGTTCTCATCAGTATGGGTATTCTCTCCATTGGTTCAGATTACAACCGATCTATTACTTCCCATTCTCAGCAAATCTTGCTCATGTTGTTCCATAGATTCTCCACCTATTATGCTGGGGGTAATTTTCTTAGTCTTTTGGCATTTCTAGGAAGTAGTGAAACATGTAGGCTATCTACAGATTTGGAGTCAGAGGACCTAGGTTCAAATGCAAGTTCTAACAAAGGCAGAAACTGAGTCACTATCTGTGTGATGTTGGGCAACATTTCTGGGCCTTCTTTATTCATTTATACAATAAAAATGCTAGACAAAATAGCCTCTAAGGAGGTGACTGCCAATTTTAACTCTATCATCCTTTGAACTTATGATCGGTTATCCCTCACTCCCATTACACAATTATCCCACCTTTTTTTTCTAGCCATAGTTTTTTGGAATGATGGCCACAATTTCATTTCTTGTGCATATGTCATTAATGGAGATACACTGCAGCCTAATTGCTGCAGAGGGAAGAAAAGATTGAGGAATTCTGTAAAGAACTTGATAATAGCCTTCAAAACAGATAAACATTTATGCTAATATTTGATGATTTCAATGGGGAAGACACAAAAATTTTATTGGAACTACTGCATTGGAAAATAAAAAAGTCACTAGGAAAAGTCTGTGACTGCAGTGAGAGAGAAGCTTGGTCCCAGCCCCAGTCCCTGCATGTGGCCCGGGCACAGTGGCTGCTTCCTGAGCTTCTGGCCCATAGACTGAGGGGGAATCAAGTAGCTGATCAGAGGGGGATTGCAAGGATCTCTCTGCTGGTGCAGGATTATCTTGCTTTGCCCATGCTTGGATTTGGATCACAGTTCTAGGTGGTAGTCCTGGGGCAAGGAGAAATGATATAGTGGTGGAGCTTGTAGTGGTTGCACAGACGATATCCTCCTCATAATTCCAAGGCAGAAAAGAGTGCTTGTGGTCACTCATAGAGTAGGACTCAGGACAGGAAAGGAGTAAACATCTTGCCCCTTATCATACCATCTTGGAAGAACTGAAAATTTACAGGTCCCTAGAAGTATCTCTGAAAATAGCTATACAAAACCCCCAAAGCCTGGGACAGTCCATTCTCCACACTGGAAGCAGACCCCTACCTTAACAAAGAGTTTATAACTCAATTTAATTGGCTGGGATCATGAGCAAGCCTCACAAAAAGAGTCAGACTATATTTTCTTGCTTTGGTGACAAAGAAGATCAAAACATACAACCAGAAGAAGACAACAAAGTCAAAGCTCCCACATCCAAAGCCTGTAAGAAAAATATGAATTGGTCCCAGGCCATGGAAGAGCTCAAAAAGGATTTTGAGAAGCAAGTAAGAGAAGTAGAGGAAAAACTAGGAAGAGAAATGAGAGTGATGCAAGAAAATCATGAAAAACAAGTCAAAAGCTTGCTAAAGGAGACCCAAAAAAATACCGAAGAAAATAACACCTTAAAAAATAGCCTAACCCAAATGGCAAAAGAGATCCAAAAAGCCAATGAGGAGAAGAATGCCTTAAAAAGCAAAATTGGCCAAATGGAAAAGGAAGTCCAAAAGCTTACTGAAGAAAATACTTCTTTAAAAACTCAAATGGAGCAATTGGAAGCTAGTGACTTTATGAGAAATCAAGACACTGTAAAACAAAACTAAAAAAAATGAAAAAATAGAAAACAATGCGAAATATCTCATTGGAAAAACAACTGACCTGGAAAATAGATCCAGGAGAGAGAATTTAAAAATTACTGGACTATCTGAAAGCCATGATCAAAAAAAAGAGCCTAGACATCATCTTTCAAGAAATATCAAGGAAAACTGTCCTGATACTTTAGAACCAGAGGGCAAAATAGAAATTGAAAGAAAATCCACTGATCACCTTCTGAAAGAGATCCCCAAAAGAAAACTCCTAGAAATATTGTAGCCAAATTCCAGAGTTCCCAGGTCAAGAAGAAAATATTGCAAGCACCCAGAAAGAAACAATTCAAGTATTGTGGAAACACAATCAGGATAACACAAGATTTAGCAGCTTCTACATTAAGGGACCAGAGGGCATGGAATGTAATATTCCAGGGCAAAGGAGATAGGATTACAACCAAGAATCACCTACCCAACAAAAGTGAGTATAATTGTTCAGGGGGAAAAAATGGTCATTCAGTGAAATAGGGAACTTTCAAGCATTCTTGATGAAAAGACCAGAACTGAATAGAAAATTTGACTTTCAAATACAAGTCTCAAGTGAAACATGAAGAGGTAAATGGGAAAGAGAAATCTAAGAGACTTATTAAGGTTGAACTGTTTACATTCCTGCATGGAAAGATGATATTTGTAACTCACGAGACCTTTGCCAGTTTTAGGGTAGTTGGAGGGAAAAAAATTTTATGTATGTATATAGATAGATAGATAGATAGATAGATAGATAGACAGACAGACAGACAGAGGGCACAGGGTGAGTTGAAGATGAAGGGGTGATATCTGGAGAATAAAATTAAGGTGTGAGAGAGGATTATATTAGGAGAAGGAGAAAGGGAGAGGTAGAATGGGGTAAATTATCTCACATAAAACAGACAAGAAAAGGCTTTTACAGTGGAGGGGAAATGGGGGAAGGTGAGAGAGAATGAGTGAATCTTATTCTCACAAGATTTGGCTTAAGGAGGGAATAACATACACAATGGGGTATGGAAATCTATCTTACCCTACAGGAAAATGGGGGAGAGAAGGAGATAAGAAGGGGGAAGAGATAGAAGGGAGGGCAGATTAGGGGAAGGGGTATTCAGAATGCATGCCGTCTTGGGGTGTGGGGAGGAATGAGATAGGGAGAAAATTTGGAACTCAAAATCTTGTGAAAGTGAATGTTGAAAACTAAAAATAAATTAATAAAAATACAACTACTGTGTCTATATCCCAAAAGATTAAAAAAAAAGGGAAATAAAAAGGTCAGTAGTTTATAGACTACTCAAGGGCTCCATACATACAATGAATTCTCCAAGAAGAGAGTCAAAAGGTGCTAGATATATTATTAGCATCAAACATTTAAAAAAGAAATTGATTTTATCTGAACATTCAGGAACTAGTTACTGAAGCAAGAATCATATCAAAATCAGTTGTATTCAATCAGATCATCTATTAATTGGAGCAAAGGCTAAAATCAACATCAAATTTGAAAAAAAAATGAGATGATATGATATACATTTGCAACAGCTTCGACCTGATTTATTCAAACAAGTTATTGATACCCAAAAAATGGAAATGAGAAATGGTAAAGGAATTGATGTTGGTTATCACCATTTACTGCAAAAACTTAGCCAATGTAAAGCAAATTCTATAACAAGGAGGTTAAATGGCCCAAAAAACAAATTAACCAGCAAATATTTAATTTCCTTGCTAAGTGGAGGCAGACAAAGGTAACATCAGTTTAGAATACAAATTCCCATTCAGATGGCCCAGGTTTGCTACCAGCAACTACAAATCTATGACCCACAGTTTCAAATCTGAGTTAGGTATACTACCACTGTATCCAGACTCAATGGGATCTCCTTTGTATCCATGTACGGTAGAAAAGGGCTGCCTCCGGGTTTAATTTTCCCTGCCTCTTTTAACAGATGATACTTTCTGATATTCTAATGGGTACCAACACTCAGTTTTGTCCTCATCAGTATGAGAAAGCATTGATTAGTTACAATCTGCATTATTAGAGGGAATATCTTATCTTTAGCATATAGTAAACACCCAATAAATGTTTTTCATTCATTCATTCATCGATAAGATCACATCCTTCAAAATATAAATATAGGTCTTTATAACATTTTCACATGCAAATAAGTCAATGACGGTAATGTATTCAAAAATGTATTATTCAAAAAAAGTATGTGTACAGGGGCTTGTTTTGAATAAAAGATGTATGTGACCATACAAATGTGATTTACTACAGAAAATCATAATATTTCTAATACTTTTGTTAAGAATATCCCCATGTCACAATAAGACATTATTGTCATAATACTGTAGAAATAACATACTAAACATATGGGTTAGCATTTTCCAATGTCTTCTTCATAAGATTTATTTGGTAAAAGTGTAATCTTTGATCTTTTAAAGTTACTTTTTTGCAATATCTTGAAAATTCCTCAGTGCTTTTATCATCATGAACGGCCTTCTGGGCTACTCCTCCCTGCTAGCTTGCCCGTTCTCTGTTTGGGTAGAGGGTACACTGGGTGGGGCACCCTCGACATTTGTGTTTCCACTACTGGAATGTTTTTGACACTTTCCCTCTCCCCAGATGGACTGAGTTGGAAGGGATGCTGTTGTTCCCTTTATAAACTGAGTAACTTGGAAAACTTTTTTAATGATGATTTACATTTTCAATGCCCAGGGACCAGTGGCACCTACATGCATTTTTGTATGCTTAATAAATAACTTATTTTACAATTTACTACTATTTATAGATTTTAAATAATATATACTATAGAAATATATAGTATCTAGTAGGCTACACTATGTAAAATCTATACTATAGAATGCTATATTGTATATTATATATTTATGGTCTGTAGTTATTTAGTGAGTATAAATAGCAATTATTTTTCTGTTCTGGACAGAAGCCTTAAGGGTTTCCCCCCACTCCAATTGATAGTTTTGTGATGGTAAATTAGTCCCTCTTTTGTCTCAGTTCTCACCTAGCCCTTAGTCATTGAACTTCATTGCCTCAGATAAACTGCCTAGGAAAGACCTTAATTTAAAAAGACCAATGTCATTTACTGCATCCTGGGCTATTGGCAGTCATTTTGACTTTTATCTTGCCACTGGACATCGATGACTCTGGAGGAGTGAGGCTAACAACTTTGCTCAGATCTGCCTCACTTAAATCCAATTCACACACAAATCAAAACATCATCCATGTGATGCCATTGATCCTCTTTGAGAATGAAGGACAAACAATAACCACAGATACAATTGATGATTTCATCATCTTAAATTCCCACTTCCTTTTCTTCATTTACTACATTGGATACTAAAGTGGTAGAGTTCAAATATGGAGCCACTGTCATGACTGATGAGAATAGATTGCAAAGAAATGCCACTGCATCTGTTCTTCATGCTTGTTCGTTGTTCTTAATCCAGTACTGCATTTAAATTTTCTTGGTATAATTTAACTTAGCTTAGTCTCATACCAAGCTTTCTTTAGGCTCTTTTCACTTAACTAGTTTGTGAAACAACATTACTCATAATCTTCCATCTTTTTATTCTGTAATACATTGTAAATGAGTTTGGACCCTATATAATCATCAGTTTTGGCTTCCATGTTTTTATGCTTGCCAAAGAAATTGTGTTTGCTGGCTGAAGTGGTTTCCAAGCCTTTCAGACTCTTTATCGTGGCAGCTTTTTGGCATCAATAAAAATTTCTCAAAGAAATGTTGATAGAGTCTATGCCATCCCATTTGTCCACTTCCCATTTTTCCAGGTTGACAGCTTATTTAAAGAGGTACTAGAGTACCATGTTTTCCAAGATAGTTTAGGAGACTGCTTTGAAATTGCTTATTCTTTATAGTAACATATATGTAATCTCTATTTTCAACACATTAAAATTGACACTGATGTTTCCTTACTGGATCAGCTTCTCATATGCCCACTTTCACATTGAAGACATCTGGTAAGGTATCAAAGAATGTGTTGATTTCACTCTGAGGATCTTGTCAAATTCTTCATAGGAATTTTCTACTTGATCCTCTGCCATAAATGTTGTTGACACATAAGCTGCTATTATCTTCATGGTGGTCTATTTGCTTATAATTATCATAAGCACTTCAAAGTCACAGCTTATTTAAACCAAGCATACCACAGGAGAATGTTTTCTTATTGCCTTGGGGAGCACAGTGAAACTACCCTCAACAACTACTTTATTCATCTAAGGAAAGATAGTAAACTGTCCTATTTAACTACAACTTTTAAAATTTCATCTTTTCTTACAATGATAATATCAATTTGAATTTGGTTCATTTTCTCCAGTAGAATGGAAAAGCACTGGTTATTGGATAAAGAAATTTAAAGTAACATAGATAATTTAAGAACTGTTTTATTCTAAACATGTTCTGTCCCACCTTTCAACCAGTCTCCTACCATCACTGCAGAAATAGGATTGAGTTCCTGGTTTGGTTTGTTTCATTTCCATTTAATGGTTCTCATGATTTAAAAAAAAATCATTACCTGGTACCTAGTTAATCTTCCCTCACTGAGCCAGCTTCCAGCATGGAAGAATCAATCAATCAGTCAAAAAACACTTAAGTGCTTAGTATGTGCCGGGTACTGTTATAAACCCTGGTGATGCAAAGGAAAAGCAAAACATTCACCACCCTCAAGCAGTTTATATTCTAATAGGAGAGACAATATACATAACTCAGCATATACAAAATAAATACAGAATAGATGGAAAGTAGCCAATCAATCAATTAATCAACAATTATTTATTAAGCCCTGATAGGTTTTTTTGTCAGGCTCCTCATCTCTCATGGATTATGATTTGAATAGCTCTTGGGAATTTAAGGCCACTTTCATGCTGACAAAGTATGAGTCAGACTTTGAAGTTATCAATGTGGGCCTTAAGTGGTTAAACTATCTTTCTTTTTTTCTTTTCAGATACTAGCAACAGCTATACCCCACTGTGAAGTTTATTTCCAAAAGCAAGGAGGTGGTTTCACAATTGACCGTGGAAATATAATATTGGAGAGGAATAAAATACAAAGTTCACAGGAACAGAGTGAAGTAAAACATATTTTTATTATTATCCTTTGGCTCATTTTGTCATCATAAATTGAAACTGCAGAAAATAAGGAACCAAAGTTGAAAATTGCTTCACTATGTAAATATATAAACAACTTGCTACTTTTAAGAATAGCATCCATTACACAACACTGGAAAAAATAGTATAATATTATCTGCAGGCATAATCTTTGAAAATAGAGAGTCACCGTGGTCAGGGAGAGTAAGTGCAAAGGCTACTAATTTTTCAGTGAGGGAACATGGAGAATCATGGAATGGTTCTTTTTGTAGCTAGCTGGAAAGGAAAAGCAACAAGTTGGTTTCCTCTAAGATATCTATTACCCAATTTCTGATATTGAAGAGCATGTCTTTGTAGTTAGTCAATGCTGGGATATTCCATATTCTCCATAACCTAATGATGCTTGCTTGTTATGGGTACCACAAGGCTGTACCACTGCCTCAAAAAAGACTGTTGGTCTCTAAATCAGTTTCAAATCCTTTTTTTGAGACAGGGTCTCTCTGCAGCAACTACTCATAGTTCATTTCTGCTGTTGATAAGCACTGAAGCTTTGACCTTCTCTTACTTAGGTGGGTTCACCCCTCCTTAGGGGGCCCAATAGCTACCTCCCCACCCTCCTGGTAGCTTACTATATTGGTGCCAAAATTAATACAGCTTTAGTATTACTACAGCTCAGAACTCCAGGCACAGCTTCCAGGTAGCCAAGATTACAGGCATGGATCACCACACCTAGCAGTTTTAAAATCTTCGAGGGTTTGGGGTAAGGTGGAGAGATGGCTTTAGCTTTCATTAGCCTTCAAGACTCTCTAGTTATGTGTGTTCCTCTAATTCCATGTTGACTTGGCATCTTGAAGACCCATGCAGGTAGGCTAATTATGAGGACACCAAGGATTCAGAAGTAGTAGATAGTGACAAGGAAGAAACAAAGAGGTACAGTTCAACCCTGGATTTTTCTCTGGGAACAATAAAATAACATGGATGTTTCAAGATTTACACAGAAGAAAGTTCTAGTGAGTCATTCCGCATGGATTTCCTTGTGGTCATATTATAGGATATAAAATAGGGGAAGAAATTACATACGATCGTGGGAATATGCTCTCTATTGCTTTCTCTTCTGCTATTTTGGCCAGAATCCAAGTCAACATCTGAGAATATTAAACCACCATTATGAAACCTGCTAGTTTCATCATGAGTAAAGTATTTAAGTTAGAAGTAGCTCTCAATGGGAATACTTTTAAACTGGTCATTCTATACAGTAGTATATGTCCAAGGTGCATTTTCAGGCCATTCAGATTGCCACAAACTATTTCCAAGGTATAATAGTTTACCTGGGACCCAAGCTCAGATTGAGTATATGGGCATAGGCAGCCTGTCATAGAAGAAAGCATGCTGGCTTTGGAACCAGGAAGGCCTAGGTTCAAATCCCAACCACATCAACTCTTTTAACTTTTATAAACCTCAGTTTCCCCATCTATAAAATGAGGGGGACTTGTAATGCCCCTTTCTGCTCTTAATCTATGATCCTGTGATTCCAGGAAAGACTTTTTTTCTAAGCTCTTTCTATCGACAGTAAGGGTAATTGTTTGTACGTATTGATCTTTCTAGGTCACTGTGACTTTTGATCATGCTTATCAAAGAGCCTATTCCTGGGAAACCTGTTACATGGACAGGGCCTGGATTTTCCCAGGTTCTCAGTGGGACCAGCTTGAGATTCACCATCAACAACATCCCCTATGCTATGGACTATGCTATTGCAATTCGTTATGAGCCTCAGGTATCAATTAACTCTACTCTTATGTGGAAAGCTGATATGGTAGCATTCTCTAACTAAGCGCTTTTAATTCAAACTTTTGAAATTATGAAAACTAGGACAACTGGATACTACTACAAAGTTAAGAGGTTGTTTAAAAATATCAAAAGAGAACAGCAAGTCATAAGGTTACATTGTTCCAGAGACAAAAACTGAAGTAAAAATTTCATGCTTAAAGTACAAGGTTACTAATGAAGTGGTAATTCAATATCTGAATAAGAGCATTTTATGAATTAAAGAGAGTTGCCTTCTTCTGACTTTCCATATAGTAATTAGATGAGCATGCGTTTAGGGTTACATGAAGCTTATATACAGATTTAGCACACCTAAAGGGACAATAAAGAAATTGTACCTTGGCTTTAGCCTGACCATCATATGGAATGGAATAAAGGCAGGCTATCAAAGTTTTTCCTTTCTTTATCAAAACGTCTTAGGTAAGAGTACCCAACCTTTTTTAGCTGCTATTCCTCTTGGTTTTTGGTAAAATGTCCTGTACTCTGTATCCAATAGGAAAGGAAACAAACTCTGGAATTATTCACACATGGTCACATAAGAAAAAAGTTTAATTTCAATAAGAAAATGTAGGGTTTTTTTTACCAAATATTTCCCAATATCCTCTCAATGAGCTTCTCACAAGCTAGAAGCCCTAGTTCTAATTTTTTTCATTTTTTTATTAAAAATATTTTTTCTCTTCCTGCCTTTCTCCTTATCCCATTGAGAAAAGAAAAGGGAAAGGAAAACAAACCCTTATAACAAATATGCATAGTTAAACAAAACAAATTCCTGAATTTGCCATGTCCTAAAGATAAATATCACAAGTAGTACCCTGAATCTACTACCTCTCTCTCAAGAGGTGGATAGAATGCATCAGCATGGCACCTCTGGAATTAGGATTGGTCTTATTGTTGATCAGAGCTCTTAAGTGTTTCAGAGTTGTTTGTCTTTACAATGTTGTTGTTATTATGTAAATTGTTCTCCAGGTTCTGCTCATGTTATACTGTCTCAGTTCATACTAGTCTTCCCAGCGTCTCTGAAACGTTCCTCTTCTTCATGTCTTGCAGCACAATAGTATTCCATTATATTCATACATAATGATTTGTTCATCCATTCCCCAACTGATGGGTATCCCCTTTGTTCCTAGTTCTTTACCACCACACGCATAGAAAAGAGAGCTGCCTTAAACATTTTTGTACATATCAACCTTTTCGCAATTGTCTTTGGTCTTTTTGGGGTTTAGCCTTAATGGTATTGGTGGTCAGGGCAAGATCATTGGCATAAAATCAAGTCTTAGCCTTGAACATCCTTTGAGTGATGCTATCTCCAATCTATATATGATAGAAATGGCAACATTTACAGGTCAATGTGAGCCTAGTTAGAGTCTAAAGAATTCAAGTGTCCTCCATTTTAAGTCATATAGTAGGCACTTTTCCACCTGTCCTAAGACCCCAGATTCCCTAAATAAATGACAGGATGTGTTTAAACATTACAAAGGTCAATACTAAGTCAGTAGAACTAGTGGGTGAAGTCTACTTTGCACAATTTAGTAATGGGGGAGAGGAGGATAGCTCCAGACTACTTTCCAGAATGGCTAGCACAATTCACAGCTCCACCAAGAATGTATTAATGAGACTGTTTTCCCATAATCCTTCCAATGTTTGTCATTTTCCTTTTTTTGTCAGCTTTGTCAATCTGATGGGTATGAGATAGAACCTCAAAGTTGCTTAAATTTGCATTTCTGTAATTTATTTGTGACTTAGAACATTTTTCATAAGGTATATATATAGATAGCTTAAATTTCTTTCCTTGAGAACTGCCTGTTCATATGCTTTGACCATTTATCAATTGGAAATTGCTTTTAGTCTTATAAGGGAACTACTGTTTTGAGGGAAAAGGGTAAGCCAGAGAAGGAAAAAAAGTTATCTAGAGCACTGGTGTCAAACTCAAATAGAAACAGGAACCACTAAACTGTACATCAGGATACCTGTGGGCACATATTGACTTAGAAAACCACATATTAACATTATGTATGTTTTACTGTCAGGTAACCAGGTGGCACAGTAGATACAACACTGGACCTGATATCAGGAAGACTCATCCACCTCAGACACTTATTAGCAGCTTTGTGACCCTGGGCAAGTCACTTAACCCTGTTTGCCTCAGTTCCTCATCTGGAGAAGGAAATGGCAAATCACTCTAGTATCTTTGCCAAGAAAACCCAAAATGGGATCACAAGGAGTTGAACAGGACTGAACAACATCAAAGTTTTATTATATTTTTATTTATTTTGTAAAATATTTCCCAATTAACTTTTAATATGATTTGGCCCACACCCAACAATGTTTGACACCTCTGTTGCAGAGGTTACCACTACTGAATCACATGACCTGAGTCACAACTAGGAATCCTTGTACCTGGGTCAAATTCAGTTAGGCAAGGAAAGTAGCAGTAGGAGTAGAAACAAATAAATCAATCAGACCAAAGGTGTAGGTATGTCAGGACAGTAGCCAAATGCCTGTTTTCCAAAGAATCTAGCCCTGCACCCACTAGAATTTGGGTAAAAAAGCAAGCCTGGGGAGGGTGAAGCCAAGATGGCAGATTAGGGGCAACCACCCAACTGAACTCCCCCAACATTCCCCTCCAAACAACTTTAAAATAACACCTGAAATCAAATGTTGGAGTAGCAGAGCCAACAAAAAATAGGGTGAGATACCTTTCCAGCCCACACAGGGTAGAGGTCCAGTGGAGGTCTGTCCAGAGCAACAATGGCCACAGACGCAGTACCTTTAGGAGCTCTCAGCCCAGAGACATTCTGGGTCAAAGTTACAGGGCAGAGAGGAACACTGGTGGTCAGTTATGAGGAAGCAGAGGCCCTGGTTCCACTGCAAAGAAGAGTACTAACTCATGGAGCTGCAGGGAACCAGGGGCTCTTCCTTGTTAAAGATCAGAACATAGACCAGGAGAACAGGGACTAGGCTTCTCCCAGGATCACACTGCCTTAAAAGCACCAAAAACTTGTAGGCTCCCCCAGAACTAGCTCTACCAATAATAGCACACAAAAGCCTAAAGCTTGGGACAATCTCCCTTCTTTCCCCTCCACCCCAGGTAAGCAGAACTCAACTTTAACATAAAGTTCAGTCAAGAAATAGACTGGGAAATTGAACAAACAACAACAACAAAGAATTTGACCATAAAAAAACTACTCCAAGACATAAACTCAGAAGAATACAACAACATAAAAACCTTAAAGAAAACTGTTGCTTGGACCCAAATCCAACAAGAATTTCTAAAAGAGTTAAAGAAAAAGATAAGAGTAGTGGAGGAAAAAATTAGGAAAAGAAACGAAACTGAAGCAAGAAAATTATGAAAAGAGTATATAGCTTTGTAGAAGGGGCCCCAGAAAAATGCTGAATAAATAATTAAATAAAAATACTTTTAAAAAGCCAGAATTGGCCTAATGGTAAAAGAAGTACAAAAATTTAACCGAAGAAAAGAACTTCTTAAAAAGCAGAATTGGTCAAAAAGAGAAAAGAACTTCAAAATCTCACTGAAAAAAATAAATCCTTAAAAATTAGAATTGGGCAAGTAGAAGCTAATGACTTTATGAGACATCAAGAAACTATAAAACAAAGTCAAAAGAATGGAGAAAAATAGAAGAAAATGTGAAATATCTCATCAGAAAAACAACTGACCTGGAAATATATTGAGGAGAAATAATATAAGAATTATTGGACTATCTGAAAGCAGTGATCAAAGAAAGAGCCTAGATATCATATTTCAAGAAATTATCAAGGAAGACTGCTCTGATATCTTAGATCCAGAGGGTAAATAGAAATTGAAAGAATTGACCAATTACCTCCTGAAAGAGATCCCAAAATGAAAACTCCCATGAATACTATAGCCAAATTCCAGAGGTCCCAGGTCAAAGAGAAAATACTTCAAGCAACAAGAAAGAAACAATTCAAATATTGTATAGCCACAGTCAGGATCATGCAAGATTTAGTGGCTTCCACATTAAAGAAGAGGAGGCCTCGGAATATAATATTCTACCATGCAAAGGAGCTAGGATTACAACCAAGATTCACCTACTCAGCAAAATTGAATGTAATCTTTCAGGGGGAAAAAGGATATTTAATGAAATAGAGGACTTTCAAGCACTCCTGATGAAAAGATCAGAGCTGAATAGAAAATCTGACATTCAAATAGAAGATTCAAGAGAAGCATAGAAAGGTAAATGTGAAAGAGTAACCATAAGTGAAGGTGGAGCCAAGATGGTAGAGAAAAGGAAGCAAGTCATCTGAGCTCTCCCCAGAACCCCTCTGAACACCTCTAAATAATGTCATAAAACAATCTCCTGAATCAGCAGACCCCACAAAAGGACAGAGTGAAATAATTTTCCAGCCAAAGAAAACTTGGAAGATCGGAAGGAAAGGTCTGTTGCACCTGGATGAGAGTGGAGCACCATCCCAGCACAGGCCGTTCCAGCATAGAACCAGCCCCAACAAACCAGGAGCAGGCCTTGGAAGCCATTGATTCAGCAGTGGCAGTGACTGTTTCTGGAACTATCAGTCCACAGACTGTAAAGGAGTTGAACAACTGATCATAAGAAAATTACAGGGGTCTCTTTCCTGGCACTGGTGGCAAGACTCTGTTGCTTTACCCATACTCAGCTCTGGATTGCAGTCCTGGGTGGCAATCCCACAGCTAGGAGGAGTACTAGCACACCAGAGCTTATAGCTGCAGTGGAGCAAGGAACTCATCACAGTTACAGGGCAGAAAAGTGTACTTGTGATCACGCACAGGCCAGGAAAGTAATAAACGCACCTCTCCTTAGCTCATACCACCTTGGAAGAACTGAAAACTTACAGGTCCCTAGAAGCATCTCTGAAAACAGCTACACAAAGCTCCTGAAGCTTGGGACAGTAAGCCCTCCATCCACTTTAACAAAGTTAAAAGTCAAGAAATAGACTGGGGAAATGAACAAACAACAGAAAAAAAAAATCTGACCATGGAAAGCTACTATGGTGACAAGGAAGATCAAAACATATACTCAGAAGATAAAGTCAAAACTCCAATATCCAAAGCCTCCAAGAAAAATATAAATTGGTCTCAGGTCATAGAAGAGCTCAGAAAGGATTTTGAAAATCAAGTAAAAGAGGTAGAAGAAAAATTTGGAAGAGAAATGACAGAGATGCAAGAAAATCATAAAAGAGAGTAAAGAGACTGGTAAAGGAGACACAAAAAAATACTGAAGAAAATTACACCTTAAAAACCAGAATAGGCCAAATGGTAAAAGAGGTTTGAAAAGCCAGTGAGGAGAAGAATGCCTTGAAAAGCAGAATTGGCCCAGCGGAAAAAAAAAAGGGGTACAAAAATTCATTGAAGAAAAAAAGAACCCCTTAAAAAGTGGAATTGGGCAAATAGAAAAGGAGATACAAAAGCTCACTGAAGAAAATTATTCCTTAAAAATTAGAACTGATCAGACCAAACACTTGACACTCACTAGCTGTGAAACCCTGGGCAAGTCACTTAACCCCAATTGCCTAAAAAAAAAAAAAACATTAGAATTGAGTAAATAGAAGCTATTGACTTTATGAGAAATCAAGAAACAATAAAACAAAACAGAAAGTATGAAAAAAATAGAAAACAATGTGAAATATCTCATTAGAAAAATAACTGACCTAGAAAATAGATCCAGGAGAGATAATTTTAAAATTATTGGACTACCTGAAAACCATGATCAAAAAAAGAACCTAGATATCATCTTTCAAGAAATTATCAAGAAAAACTGCCCTGATATCCTATGACCAGAGGGCAAAAAATAGTCCTTGAAAGAATCCACCAATCCCTTCCTGAAAGAGATCCCAAAATGAAAACTCCCAGGAATATTATAGCTAAATTCCAGAGGTCCCAGGTCAAGGAGAGAATATTGAAAGCAGTCAGAAGGAAACAATTCAAGTATTGTGGAGCCACAGTCAGGATAACACAAGATTTAGCAGCTTCTACATTAAAGGACTGGAGGTCTTAGAATATGACATTCCAGAGGGCAAATGAGTTAGGATTACAACCAAGAATCACCCTCCCAGCAAAAATGAATATAATCCTTCAGGGGAAAAAATGGGTATTCAATGAAATACAGGTCTTTTAAGCATTCTTGGTGAAATGACCAGAGCTGAATAGAAAATGTGATTTTTAAATACAAAATTCAAGAGAAGCATAAAAAGGTAGACAGAAAAGGGAAATCATAGGGGACTTAATAAGGTTAAACTGTTTACATTCCTACGTGGGAAGATGATACTTGCAACTCACAAAAACTTTCTCATTATGAGGGCAGTTAGGAATAGATGTAGACAGAGGGCAGATGTGAGTTGAATATAAAGGGATGATATCTAAAAAAATAAAAATTAAGGCGTAGAAAGAGGAATGAACTGGGAGAAGGTGAAAGGGAGAGGTAGAATGCAGTAAATTCTCTCATATAAAAGTGGTAAGAAAAAGTTTTCACAGCAGAGGGGAAGATGGGGAAGGTGGGAGGGATGGAGTAAGTGAACTTACTCTCATCAGAATTTGCTTAAAGAGAAAATAACATACACACTCAATTGGGTGTAGAAATCTATCCTACCCTATAGGAGAGTAGGAAGGAAGTAGATAAGAGAAGGGAGATGACAGAAGGGAAGGTATATTGGGGGAGGTGGTAATCAAAAGCAAAACACTTTTGAGAAGGGACAGAGTGAAAGGAGAGAGAGAATAGGATAAATGTGAGGATATAGGATGGAGAAAAATACATTTAGCAATCATAATTGTGAAAAAAATTAAAGCAAATTTCTCTGATAAAAGTCTCATTTCTCAAATATGTAGAGAACTAAGTCAAATTTATAAAAATTATAAAAATGATTCCTAATCAAGAGATATAAACAGTTCAGATGACATAATCAAAACTATCTATAGCCATATGAGAAGGTGCTCTAAATTGCTACTGATTAGAGGAATGCAAATTCTGAGGTACTACCTCATACCGATTAGATGGCTAATAGGACAGAAAAGGAGAATGACAAATGTTGGAGGGGATGTGGGAAAAATGAGATATTAATGTACTGTTAGTGGCATTATGAACTGATTCAACCATTCTTTGGCAAAATGAGGAACTATGCCCAAAGGGTTATAAAACTTTGTATACCCTTTGGCCTAGCAACGCCACTAAGGTCTTCGTCCAAAAAAAGATTAAAAACAAAAGGGACAAGGAAATATTTATAGTAGCTCTTTCTGGTGGCAGGGAGTTCAAAATTGAGAGGATGCTCATCAATTAAGGAACGGCTGAGCAAATTGTGCTATGTAATTGTGATGGAATACTATTGTGCTATAAGAAATGGTGAGCAGGGGACATCTAGGTAGCACGGTGGATAGAGCACCGGCCCTGGAGGCGGGAGGACCTGAGTTCAAATCCGGTCTTTGACCAGACACTTGACACTCACTAGTTGTGTGACCCTTAACCCCAACTGCCTTGCCAAAAAGAAACAAAACAAAAAAACAAAGGAAAAAAAAAACAAAAAAGAAATGTTGAGCAAGATGCTCTGAGAAAAACCTGGAAAGATTTACATGAGCTGATACAAAGTGAAATGTATGTGTATAAAGTAACAGCAATAGTGTAAGATGATCAGCTATGAATGACTTAGCTATTCTTAGCAATATAATGATCTAAGACAACTCTGAAGGGCTTAGGATGAAAAATGCTATCCATCCCCAGAGAAAGAACTGATAGTGTCTGAATACAGAATGAAGCATACTTTTTTTACTTTGTTTATTTTTCCTGAGTTTTTTGGTTTGGTTTGGTTTGGTTTTTGTCTATGTTTTCTTTCACAGAATTATTAATATGGAAGTACGGTTTAAGGGGCAGCTAGGTGGTGCAATAGAGCACTGGCCCTGAAGTCAGGAGGACCTGAGTTCAAATGTGACCTCAGACCAAACACTTGACACTTACTAGCTGTGTGACTCTGGGCAAGTCACTTAACCTCAATTGCCTTAAAAAAAAAAAAAAGAAATATGTTTTGCATGGCTACACATGAATAACTTATATCAAATTGCTTGCTTTCTCAGAGAGGGGGTAAGGAAGGGAGGCCATAGTACAGAATGCTGATTTACAGCTCTGCTCACAGTCACCTTCACTGTTGCAGCTGGAACTTAGAGCTCTGGTTATCCTGAAATGATGAGCATGCTTATCTTCCCACAATATCTTAAAACAACAAAAGGACTTTAATGAATTTTGAGTTGGCAAATGCATACAAAAGCCTTCACAAGAAGATAAATTTATGCATCTGTCCATAGACTAGACATATCTCAAACAGCTTTGTAAGCTGTACAGCTTCCAGAATGTGGTCAATTAGCCTATGTTTGCACAATATCATTTAACAATCCCAAAGAGTCTTCCAAATTACAAAACTCTGTTCCCAAATCCAGAGGGTGTTGTCAAGAATTGTTTTTGTTGTGGGAGGTGATGGTTACGGTTAAAATGGTCAGCAGTGTCAAGTTTTGCTAAGTCTTGAGCGCAGCTACAGCCACTAAAAATGTACCTTTTCTCTACTTCATAATTCAAATGAACATAGGTTACAAATTTAGTTCCATCTCCAGGTTAATGTTATAAATGTCATATGTCATGTCCATTAATGTCATATGCTTAATCAAATTCTCCCCCCTCACCAATACAACCTGTTGTTTGTTGAATATTTAGTCGTCAGCTGACTGGGAAGCTCGCATAGTGATTAACCCTTCTGGAACTTCAAGAGGTGAACATTGCAGATATAAAGTACTCCCACAAGAGCCTCAGACTCTGGCCTTACCAGCTTCTGTAAGGTAGGACGATCAGCCTTTCTTACATATTCCAGCTTTACATAGTCGGACATTATTGGAGTGCTAAAAATTTGTAGGTAGGAGTTGCTTTGAAATGTGAGAAATTAAAATGTGACTAGGATGAAAAAATAAAATGTTCATTTCATTTTTTTGTGTTCCTTTCAGCTCCAAACACATTAAGGTAATAAATTGTGATCAGTGATTCCATCCCATCAGGGACTTTTAACAAAGCATAAACATAAGCCATTATGACAAATAGACCACTAGATCAAAACATTTGTCCCATACTATTCTGTAAGAATGTAAAATCAACTTGTTTTAATTCTCTAAGACTATATGCAGGGCTATAACTAAAGTAGGGCAACTGGAGCTTTGTCCCATGGTGCTAAAAATGTAGAGGGCACTGTTAACACTTGTAGAGCCTCTGTAGTATAGAAATACCTGAACATGGTGAAAATAAGAAGCTGCCAGATCCCAACTTCTTTCCCTACCAGTGTTTGCACCCAGGGAAGCTCCCAGCTTATGTCTCTCCTTCTCCTATTCCCAATTTACCATATACATTATCCTTCCCAGCAACAACTTCATGGCATTCCTTCCTCCCTCATTTGACTTGCCCAGGCACAAAAATGTTTAGTTAAGCTTCTGTTTATATGATAGTACCACATATCAGAATATTGGTTGTGTTACTAATATATTGGAGCAGTTTCCAACACATTACCATGTGGCATATTGAGAGAGATCAGCCATGGAAAAGCAGAATAAGGTGATTTTATAATCTGTTATAATCCAGGTGCACTAGAATAGATCTGGATCAGTCCTAGACACTATAGCCCTCTCCTTCATGATGGAGACAGAATGCAGCCCCCAGAAGGACACTTAGGATTATTTGGTGGCTATTTTCAGAAATTTCTGTGTGAACTATCCCTTCTACCTTTAACAGCTAGAGAAGTTACATCAATGGAAATTCCATTGATATCTACTGTGGAGAATATTATATATGCATTTTAATTGAAAATATTTTGGGCTTTCCACAACTAATATGAAAATATGTTTAATAGGAATGTATCTATAGAGCTTATATCAGATTGAATGCCATCTTGGGGAGGGAAGTGAGAAAGGAGAGAGAGAAAATTTAAAACTCAAATGCTTATGGAAGTGAATGTTGAAAACTAAAAATAAATTAATATAAAAATATTTTGGATTTTCTTCATAGTAAAATCTACATACCAGCTTCATAGAATCTTGCATTTCATTGTTATTGTTGTTCAGTCATTTTTCAGTTATGTCTGATTCTTCGTGACCCCATTTGGGATTTTCTTGGCAAAGATACTGGATAGGTGTGCCACTTCCTTCTCCAACTCATTTACAGATGAGGAAACTGAGGCAAACAGGGTTAAGCAACTTTCCCAGGCTCACACACTAGCAAGTGCCTGAGGTCAGATTTGGACTCAAGAAAGAGTCTTCTTGACCACAGACTTAGCACTCTATCCCATGCGCTACCTAGTTGCCCTGCCTTGCATGTAGTGGTTGTTTAATAAATGCTGGTCAAATGAATAAGGGAGGTATCAAATGAACGAATGACAATTTTATATAACAGTAAGCAGGAATGCCTATCACTGATCCAGGGTCTTATTCATTTTGAAACAGAATTGCACTGCTTGCCACACCAGTCTGCCTAGAACCAGAAATGCAGTATTCTGTAGATGTTCATTTTTCTCAGTCATTTACTACGGATTCACAGGCTCATGGACATATTTTGATTGATTCGGTAAGTGGCCATGTGAATGATGTTTCCTTTGGACCTGATTCCCTCGGTAGGTTTATTTATAGAATATGTGGAGAGAATATGTTCCATCCTTAATAAATTTAAAACAATTATGGGCTAGAATTATGTTATAATACTTATTGCTATATATTTCATCATTAGGCAGGTCCATTTTGTACCCCAATCTAAAGAATTTAATGATTTTAATTCCCAACTATTTTAATACCTTAGACTATGAAAATATCCTAATAATAATGGGTTTTCATTTGTAGGATAATATATGGTATGGCACTTGAGCACAATTATCTTAAGATTATAGTATATTAAAATTATATTAAAGCAAAGTTAGGGTAAAAAATAAACAGAAATACTTTCCTGACTTTCCTATGCCTAATTTTGGATCCCACAAAGGAACCAGTAGGATCTACTGGAAAGAACACTAAACATAGATTATTGTTAGATTAGATCACGGATTTTTAGAGCTGAGAGGGACCTTGGAAGTAATCTAGTCCAATACTATTATTAACTTTTTTACAGGTTAGGAAACTGAAACCTAAACAAGTAAAGTGATTTGCCCAAGGTCACATAGGTAGTAAATGGCAGAGCCAGGATTCATATCCCTGTCATAGGACTATGAAATTAGAGCTGGAAGGGATCTCTAAAGTCATATATTCTAATAACATCTTTTTTTAAAAATATGATGAAACTGAGACCCAATGACTTGCCAGAGGTTGCAAAGGTACTAAGTGTCAAATTTTCAATTGTTTTCAATCATATCCAACTCTTTGTGTCCTCATTTGGAGTTTTCTCAGTAAAGATACTGGAGTAGTTTGCCAATTCCTTCTCCAGCTCATTTTACTGATGAGGAAACTGAGGTAAACAGGGTTAAGCCCAGGGTCACACAGCTAGTAAGTGTCTGAGGTCAGATTTGAACTCAGGAAGATGAGACTTCCTGAATCCAGGCCTACTACTCCATCCACTGTGCCACCTAGCTGCCTCCGAGTGTCAAAGGTTAGATTCAAAACCAGGTTTTCTGACTCCAATTGAAAGGCTCTCTCTGCTATAACATGCTGACTCATAGATCTAGGTTCTAGTTCTGCTTCTAACAGTTATTGGGAGGTGATATTAGGCAAGTTCCTACTCTCTGGGCCTCAGTTTCTACATCTGTAAAATGAGAAGGATGTGCCAGATGATCTCTAAAGTATCTGCTAACTCTTACAGTTTATTATTATTGGACTTCTTTGCAGAAGAGCATCAAGTGGGATTCTGTTGATGAACAAAGTTGGGGCAGAGAGCAGAATGAAAAGGAAGGAGGCTAGTCTAATATATCTAATCTAGAAGATTATTATTTATGGGGGAAATAGGGAATGATATAATTCAAAGTCTAGATATATTGCCCCTTAAAAAAAGTTTAAATCTTCTGCTTGTGTTTAAATCTTTTTCTTCCTTTCCTTCTCTTCTTCCTCTTCCTCCTCCTCCTCCTCCTCCTCCTCCTCCTCCTCCTTTTCCCTATCACTTAAATGGCACTTTAAAGTTTGTAAAGCACTTTATATATCATCTCATTTGATCCTCAAAATAACTCTGTGAGGTAGATGCTATTATTGTCTTCGTTAGAGTATAATAATAGCAATAATGAGCAAACAGGCTGGCAGTTAATTGACATAGCTAGTAAATATCTGAGGTAGGATTCAAACTCAGGTCTTTGTAACTCCAGGCCAAGCACTCTATCCACTGCACCATCTATCTGCCTAAGCTGCCGCTATAAGGCTAGTCCTTATCTTGGCAAGCTTCTGGCCCATTAACCAGAAAGCTTACGCTTGTTATTTGTCACCAGGCCAATTTTATATGCATTGCTATAAAAATGTGTTTGGTGTCCACAAAGTGTTTTAGAATATAAAACTGTCATCTCTTCATAAATCAAGGGATGGACTTGAATTGGCAAACCTATAAACCTGAAAGTCATTAGAAAAGATAAATGGTAGTCAGATAGAATAGGAGGGTTGAAGAAGACTTTAATGTCATTTAGTCCAACTGTCTGGTACTGGGAATCAATAAATTAGTGATTTATTAACAACTGCTATATGCCAGGCATTGTGATGAATCTAAACAGTTCACATTTTGAGAGGTGTTAAAAAAAAAACCCAAGAACTCTTAAGCCTTGATAGCTTTCCCCCTCTCATCCTCCTCTTAATTAATCAATCCATCACTGTGCCAGACACATTCTTGGCAATTGGGACTATCTTTTTTTTTAATTTTATTAATTTATTTTGATTTATCAATAATCAGTTCCATATGCTTTTGAGTTTAAAATTTTTCTCCCCCTTCCTCCCCACCACCCTCCCCAAGACGGCGCACAATTTGATATAGGCTATACATTTACATTCCTATTAAGCATATTTTCACATTAGTGGTGTTGTAAGTAGAAATTAAAACCAATAGGAGGAACCATCAGAAAGAGGAAACAAAACTCAACAGAAGAGAAAAAAAATACCAATTCAACTTTCATAGTTCTTTCTTTGGATGTGGATAGCATTTTTCATTATGAGGCCTCTGGAGATGTCTTAGATCCTTGTATTGCTGGGAAGAGTTAAGTTTATCAATATTAGTCATCACACAACGTGGCTGTTATTGTGTACAACATTCTTTTGGTTCTGCTCATTTCACTCAGTATCAGACCATACAAAGGACTATCTTCTTTTAATATTTTTTCAATGAACAGAAATCTATTTTTTCTCCTCACCCCCTCCTCCAAAATTAAAAAATAAAAAATTAATTTAAAAAATTAAAATAGATTCTTTGTAATAAATTTGTATAGTCAAGCAAAACAAATTTTAGCATTGGGATAACAAAAAAAAGTCTTGATTAACATTCCAAGTCTATCATCTTTCTGTCAGAGGTCCTCTCGAATTGTGACTTGTGTTGATCAAAGTTAAGTGCTTCAAAGTTGTTTGTCTATAATGTTGTTTTTATCGTATAAATTGTTCTCCAGATTAACAAGTCTTCCCAGATTTCTCTAAAACCATCACCTTTATCATTTCTAATAGTACAAAAGTATTCCTTTATATCCATATATCATATAGTAATTTGTTCATCCATTCTTCGATTGATGGATACCAACTTAATGTCTAGCTCTTTGCAATCACAAAAAGAGCGGCTATAAATGTTTTTGTATCTGTGGATCCTTTCCTCTGTCTTTGATATCTTTGGGGCATAGACTTATTGGTAGCATCATTGAATCAAAGGATATACACAATTTAGAAACTTTGGGGATCTCATTCCAAATTGCTTTCCAGGGGGCAGCTAGGTGGCACAGTGGATGGAGCATTGGCCCTGGAGGCAGGAGGACCTGAGTTCAAATCCAGCCTCAGACACATAACATTCACTAGCTGTGTGACTCTGGGCAAGTCACTTAACCCCACTTGCCCTCACCAAATTGCTTTCCAAAATGTCTGGACCAGTTCACAACTCCTACTTGGGATTATCCTTAAAAGATTGATAACTCCTTGAGACCAGCATCTTATTTCTCTTTTTATTTTCCCGTAATTTTAGCATGGTACTCTATACCTGGTGCATACTTAAACACATTTTTGTTATGAATGCATAAATAAATGGATGAATGAATAAATCATACAGAATCCCAGGATAAGAAGCACCTCAAAATCCATTTAATCTAATCTATGTCTAAGTATCTTAACACACAAGTTGACATCCAACCTTTGTTTGAAGACTTAGAGGAAAGAAAACCCCATTGCCTCCTGGAGTACCCAATTTCAAGTTTAGATAGTTGTATGGATACTATTTTACCCCACTGTCAGTATTGTATGCTGGAAGGAATTTGATTTAATATTAGCCTAAGCAAACATTATTTGGAAATTAAGTGTTCTGGAGAAAAAGCTATAAAATACATCCCACATTCAAATCTAAATTACATTTAATTTTCCAGGTCACTTCTCCCCACCATCAGCATGAATTACCAAGGACTGATAATCATATTTGTTTTGATACTTCAAATACCTGTGATTTCATTGGTGTCTCTACTCCCTTCAGTGCAGTAGAAAGGGTACTGGATCTTAAATTGGAAGAATTGGATTCAAATCCTATTTCTGCTACTTATTACTAATATTAGATTGGGCAAGTCATTTAACCTCTCTTGACTTCAGTTTCCTCATCTATAATTTCAGGAGTATGAACTAGATACATCTCTAAGTTCCCTTTCAGCTCTGAAGCTATGACATCATGATACAGCACAGAGTATAATTTTTCTACCACCTTGTAAAAGGTCACCATGAGTTGCTGCGTCTGAAAAAAAGAAGTCATCAGGTGCAGGCAATCTTCTGATGATGACCTATTTGGTACTTAGCCAAGCTGGTCTTGGGATGACAGACCATCACCAGAGCAATATCCACACCCTTTCCAGCTTAATAGAACCTGCCAGAGCTTCAGTGACACTGCTATAGCCTTTATAAAGCCCAGGTGATCACCATGTAATGATGAGGTATTGTAGAACCTATTAGTGGCCGTTAGAGAACTACATTCTTGTTTATATGTCAATTTTATTTCTCTCTCTCCTGAAAAAAAATACTACACTAAAGTATTCTTATTGTAGGGTTCATGACGACCCTCAGAACATTTTTCTTACACGCAAATGTATATCCAGTCTATCTTGATCTTATATTGTTAGAGTTGATTCCATGATTTAATTTTTTCTTCTTGTGTCTACCATCTTCTCTCTCTGTATTTGTTTTTGTCAAATTAGAACCTGTTTTGTGGGCTTGCTTTCTGAGCTGCTCTATTTGCTACACTTCATGACTAACTTAGGACAATAATGCAACATAACAAGTACATTCTCTTTAATATTTCACTCTAGTCATTGATAAAAATTTAAGATAATTAAAAATGGAAAATTGAATGGTACTCCTCTGCTTAAGAATTACCTTTGGATAGCTTCCCTAAAACTTAAAAATTATCAACCATTCTTCAAAAATAACCCTCTTACCAGTTATGTACCCATTAAAGTTATGTAGTTATATAGTCCAAACTATAGTTTATCAATTTATTTTCATTCATTCCTTCATTTTGAGAGGCAGTATGATATTGTAGATAGAGTGATGGATTTAGATGAAGGAAAACCTTGGTTCAGATTATGCCTCTGATACTTATGACTATAAGCAAGTCACTTAAATCCTCAAACATGGAATGAAGAAAATAATAACCATAACACCTACCTAATAGGGCTGCTGGGAGGAGCAAATGAAATAAAGTGCTTTGAAAATATTAAGGTGCTATATAAATTTCAATTATTCTTATTTTATTAATGATAATTCTAAATTGCCTGAAATTTCATCTGGTTGAACAATTTGCGTGCTTGAGGTCCTGCCCAGTTCTGATTTTATTATTAGGAGGGATTAAGTTTTCTGACTGAACTTAAGAAGCATCTTCACCCGGAATGAAGTATGCTCAGTTTTGTAGATAAATAACCTTAAGCATACAGGCCGGTTAGTTTCTTGGTATGTTTTATTTTAGGTACTTCATTCATTTCTTGTCTTCATTGATTAGTCTTATGCAATTTGAATTGGTTCTTGTTGACATGTAAGTTGCTTCCTCCTGGATACTTGCAAGACTCCCTAAAAATGAAGCTCTGGAACATGGTTATTATGTTTATGAGTGAGTCAAACCAATAGTTCCTTTGTCAGCTTGGATTCTTTTGATTTGTACTCTGCCCTCGATTGTCAATATTTATGGGCAATCTTATCATATGATTTTCTGGAGTATGGTATTCAGATTCCTTGATTCTTCATATATTTTCTAAGAGGCTAATAATTTCTAGACCATTGCATCCAGACTCCATGCTCTAGCTTTGCTGCTTTGGGAAGATCTGAGATATCTTACAGTCTTGCCACTTTTTGTTTCATTTTGTTGATTTTTCTTTCATCTCCTCATTTTTTAATTCTTCTTTTCCCTCTCCAGTCTCATGAATTCCACTGTTTCATTAAGATTTTTCACTATATTTTCTACTTCTTAAAAATTCTCATATTCATCTTCCTGAACTCTTTATTCAACAATCTTATTAACAGTTTTGCAGATATTATCTTCAAATTATGAGATATTTATATCTCATTATTATTTTATTCATCTCTGAAAGTTTTTATGGTATAAAAACCTCCAGAGGAACAACCATTGTAGTCTTTGTTCTTTCTTTCTGCCTATTTCTCCTCAATTTGTTTTATTCTATAGTCTCTATTAATACTATGTATTTGGACCTCTTTTTTTTTTTACTCATTTCTTCATTTTGGGAGGTTAGTTTTCCTGTGAGATTTTCCCTGTAAAGGTTTCATTCTTTTTATCTTTTCTTTGTTGTCCCTCTTGTTCAATTTGTGTATTTGTTGCCATATTCATGTAGTACAATATTTTTGCACTCTACCATGAAATCTAATCACAGTAGCTCTCAAAGGCTCTCTATTAAATTTTAGATATCTTAATTGGTACAGGAAATACCCATATCAATGAAATTACATATCCTCGAAGTATTGACATGTTATAGACTGTGTTATATTTGGCATGTATTGTAGAAGTGGTCAATTTAAATACTAAAATGTGCTAAACAAGTCATGTAAGTATTTGTATGCTTAATAGAACCCAGAACAACAGATTATTGAATGTTTTTAATTATCTATTTATAATTCTTTTTTATCAAAAGCTTGGCCTTATTCCCCAAATTGATTCAATAGAGAATTTCTGCAATAAACAACATTTAGATGAGCACCAACTAAACAACTGTATCGAAATTGCTTCCAAACCACATCCTCAAATTTTGCCTGACTGGTGTGAAAGACTTATAGTTAGCATATCTGCAAGGATACACAATGGAGCAGTTGGTAAGTACTTGTTTGATAGATTCTGCCTAAATGTTATCTTGATGTGCTTTTAAGAGAGAGCAGGTAGAATTTCTGTAACAACAGCTCCAAATATCCAAGTACCATCATCTTCCCCCATTGTACCTATCTCCCAGCTTCTCTCAGACTTCTCCAAAATTCATTCTATTTCTTCTCTAAGTACTCTACAACCTCATTTCCTTACCTCTATGGCCAATCTCTGCATACACTCAAACCACTCAAAGACCAATGCCCTTCCTACAACCCGGGTCTTATAAGTACCCGAGAAGAAATGAAGAAGCAGTAATTCACTGCCTACTTCATCCATTTTTTCAGCAGCTTTGGAGGAAGCATCCTATCACAGTGTGCCCAGTATTATCTACTAGCAGTTTCATCACATAATATCCCAAGTGTTTATAAATTTGTCTTAAATTCTTAATTGGTAACAATATTTAATTCTGCACTCATGAGTTTATTTCTTAGAATTGTAAACTATCCATGTTAAAAGGCACCTTAGAGATCATCAAATCCACTCTCTCATTTAAAGAGAGAAAAGTTAGAGGAAGTTAAGGAACTTTCCCACGGTCATAGTTAATGTTAGAGCCAAAACTAGAACCTGTATCTCCTAAAGTCCAAACAGATATTCTTTCCATTACAAGGTACTATCTCTGGATACCTTTATATAGATCCTTTAGGCATAGGTGGGTAAATTGAAACAGGAAGCTAAGAGACATTAATATAGGCTAATTAGACAAGGCCCTTTCCCCTAAGATGGAAGGGGACTGTAGATAGAAAAAGGTAGAATGATTGATGAGTCCCTGAATTCTGTTCCTGAAAACAAAGGAATTCTACCAACCTTTTGTTTCTTACCTGATCTGCTTACAATTGTTTTTTTAAAGGTATCTTGGATCAAGTCTTGGAGGCTAGGTATGAATTGTTAGAGAAAGTGCAAAGGTAAGGGACAAGTTAGACTAGACAACTTCTAAGGTCCTTTCCAACTCTGTGATTTCAAATATCCCTTGAGGAAATTAAAAATAGGGACAATTTTTTCTGATAGCTAAACAAAAAAAAAGTATGTTCCACATAATATTGAACACTTTCAAAATCCAAAGCATTTTTTATAAATTAACAAATGGTTCCCCCCGCCTCAATTCTTTCCATTCTTTGGAATCATGACCACTGATGTGCCTCTTTCCAAATTTTAACTGTGATTATCATGGTTTTGTTATACATGACAGTAAATTTATATTTTAATGAATTATAGTTAAAATAATATTTTTATCTATTTCTGTCAGTTACCCCATTCTTCATGAGTAGTCATTCTACCACAGATGTCCAATAGTTATGTTTCACTGTGTCATTCAAATATTTGGTGCATGGCGGGGGGGGAGGGGGGAATACTGGATTTGGGCAGAGGACTTGGGTTTTAATCCCAATTCTGCCATTTATTACTTATGTCACCTTAGGTAAATCATGTAGATTCTTTGGGCCTTGGTTCTTCATCTGTTAAATGGAGGGGCTTAACTAGATTATTTCTGTTTCATTCCAGCTCTAAATCTTTGTTCCTATAATCCTACTTTCTACTATGTTCATGGAAGTTCCCATACGTTGACCAAATGGACCTGGCCCACCAGTGGGCAACAGGAAGGCAGACTAGGATCACTTGCTACCACTGAGTGAAGTTATGACCCTATCTCTTCCCTAACCAGTCCTCATTGCCCCATTGAGTAGTCCCCACCAGATTCATAATACTTAATTGTCAGGATTTTAACTCTATATCCTTACCTTTGGTGTATATATCCCTGAGCTCCACTCCATGCTAACCTTTGAACCTACCAGCCTCTGTTTGGTGTTCAAAGCCCTTCAAAACCTGCTCTCCTTTTCCACTCTTATTACAGCTCCCCCTTACTACGTGATACAATAACATTGGCCTCTTTGCTGTTCTTTGCATAAGATACTTCATTTCCAGACTCCAGGAATTTTCATTGGCTGTCCACCATGCCTACAATGCTCTCCCTCCTCACTCCCTGGGCCTCAGTCAACTCCCAGCTAAAATACCCTTTTCTGCTGGAAACCTTTCCCAGTCTTCCTTAATGTTAATGCTTTCCCTCTTTATTTCCAGTTTATCTGGTATGTAGCTTGTTTCCACATAGTTATTTGTATGTTGTCTTCCCCATTAGATTGTGAGGTCCTTGAGAGCAGGGTCTGCTTCTTTCCTTTCTTTGTGTCTCTAGTGCTTAGCAGAGTACCTGGAACATAGTAGGTGCTTAATAAATGTTTATCAACTGACTGGTAAGGTGTCCCATGCTCTGCCACTACTCCTGAATGTCCTTCCGGCTTATCTTCTGCCCTACTCCTTCCCCAGCTCAAATATTACCTGGCCTTTCCATCTGTTATAAAAATGAACTCTCCTTTTTTTTGTCTCCTCCAGTTAGATTACATATTCATTGGGAGCAGGGACTATCTCAAATTTCTATTTGTGTTCTCAATACTTAGGATATTGCGTGGCATAGACTGAATGCTTAATAAATGTAGGGGTTTTTTATTCTATTTAATATCTCCATGTTCTATTAACCATACTTGTCAACTTGACTATTTGGTTACATCAAATGCTGCTTCAGTGTTAATGAAGTGGCTGTATTCCAGCTCCTCATGATCAGGGAGTTTTTACTATCATTTCATACTAATTCTGCCTCATACATATCATTAATGAAACAGATCCGAAAGTCAGATGGACTATGTGAGAGGCAGCATGGCATAGTAGATGGCGTTCTGGACCTGGCATCAGAAAGACCCAGCTTCCAACAGGGAGGAAGATGACACTGTCTGGGTGACCCTGCACATGTCACTTAACCTCCCTGAGTTTGAGTTTCCTCATCTGTAAAATGCAAATAATAATACCTATAGTACCTGCCTCTCAGAATCGTTGCAAGTTTCAGAAGAGAATATATATAAAGGGTTTTGCAAGTTTTAAAGCACTGAATGGATGTTGATGACTGTTATTATCTAAAGCAAGTTCACGTCTTAAAGCCACTGAAGTAAGACATGCCAATTGTTCCATCAGTTCTGAATTTGGCATAGAGTTTAACGCTACATTAGGGCCAAAAGACAGACTCATTAGGACAACAACAACGACAAAGATCTAGTTCCATATGACTGCTTCGGAGTAAAACCCCACAGACTGTAATTCCCTCAGGCCACTGTCTCTAGTCTGGATAATAATGATAACAATAGCTAGCATTTGTATAGCATCTTAAGGTTTGCAAAGCACTTTACAAATATTATCTCATTTTATCCTCACAACAACCCCATAGGTAAATACTATCATTATCCCCATTTTTTACAGATAAGGAAACTGAGACTTAGAGAAGTTGCCTATTCCCATACAGTTAGTAAAACATGTAAGGCCATAGGTGAACTCAGGTCCTCCTGACTCCAGGCTCTGTCTGCTGGGTCATGGTTCTGTGCATAGCTTCATTTTCCAGAACCAGACCAAGACTGGAATTCAAGAATGATGGTGAAACAGAAAACTATGTTTCCTTGCATCCTTTGTGAGTGAAGGAATATTCCATTGGTGCTTATATATTCTCAACAAAGACTGTAGTTAGATGAAAGGTAGACATGGTTTTGTTTCTGTTCCTTAAGATCCAGAACTTGGCTGATGCAGGCCTAATTCCTGCATAGTTTGCACCTGCTCAGGAGTTTGTGGATCTCATCTAAAATCACCCAAAGAAGAGCCCCGATGATTCTTTTCCTCATTGCCTCCTTCTCCTTTCTTTTTGCTTACAGCATGCCAGTGTCACCCTCAGGGTTCCATAGGGTCAAGCTGCAGCAAACTGGGAGGCCAGTGTCAATGTAAAGCCACGTGGTGGGGTGCTGCTGTGATCAGTGTTCTGCGGGAGCCTATGGTTTGGGGCACCATGGTTGTCACTGTAAGTACCAAAGGACAAAGGTTAAAAATCAGGCCTAACACCTCACACACACACACACACACACACACACACACACACACACACACACACACACATTTTGAATCAAATACAGTCAAAGTGTGGTTGAATATTTTAGGAATTGTCTTTTTTTTAAAGTGGGATGGATGATTTAGGTGAGAGTGAACTAAATTACACATATAAGCTAGCTACATTGGTCAAATTTCTATTTGGCTAGAGACTTGTAACTAGGAACGTTTGTACTCAGAGAAAGCTCCACAAACAAGACTATGAGAGACCTTCCCTCTCTGTTAATTATTTCCTATTTATCCTGTACCTAGTTTATTTGTCCGTATTTTTTACTTGTTAGATCTACATTTGATTGTGAGCTCCTTGAAGGCAAAGACTGTGTTTTACCTTTCTTTGTATCCCTAGCACTTAACACACTGTTTGGCACATAGTAGGCATGTAATATATGCTTATTGACTTACTGATTGGCTGCCTCAGTTCTTAGGGAACAAATACAAAGCCCAATTGGTGGTGGGTAAATGGAATGGTGACCCTGGAATACTGGCAGGAGATCATTGCTTGGGAGTCCAACATTTCGTCAAAGGCCTTCAAATGTTGTCAGCACCCTCCACGGTGGAGAAAGGAAGAGCTGTGGAGAAAAAGTCTTTATAGAAAAAAGGCATTATAGGAAAAGTCTGGGAGAGTCAGGAGCACAGCCTCAAAAAGAATGAAGACATGGCTAGCTTGGGACTCTTCCTTAAAATGGAGGTTCTTGATGAAACCAAGCCAACCAGAGGGAGAAGCCAAAGGGGGAAAGGTGCTTCCAGTGTATGAAATCCAGAGGTGGAGAGAGCTTCTAAAGTGAACAAGTTTCTAGGGCATTGTAGAGACAGTCCAGAGAGTCAAGAGAGCAGCTTGGAGAAGAATGAAGAAGTATATGAATGTAAGTCCTACTAAACTTTAAGCTCCTTGAGGGTAAGGATTGTTTTTTCTTCATTTTTGTGTTTCCCCTATATGCAATAAATATTGTTTGACTAAATGATTATCAAACATAGCTCTCTGTTAAAAGCTTTAAAAACTTCGAAGGAATGGTCTCTATTGTAACTTACACCAGAGTCCATCTAAGAACTTCAGTTAGTTAAATTCCCCTTTGGGGTAGTAAGAGGATGAGTAAATGATTCAGGGAGTTGGTGTACCCTTCTGGTGATTTTCTACTTAGGTAGAACTTTCTATCCAATTGAGGACAGTTTGGATGAATAGTGTTTTTTACCCTTTTCCTTTTGGGGAATGGGTGGAATTGATTGTCCCTGATCAAATCTCCACCCACAAAGCCTCATTCTGGGTGTGACCATTTCTTGAGGGCTCTACTTCTATTCCTCCTTTCCTATCTCACCCTTCAGGGTACAGGGTAGAGGAGGGATAAAGAAAACCCAAGGGTCCCTGGTACAGAGCCACATGTTTACTTGGTGATAATGAGATTAGATTATGAAGCCTATGGAGAAGTTCCCAGCTTCATGTGGCTTCCTTTCTTTGTCAGTTGGAAAGCTTAGAAAATACAAATAATAAATAAAATTCATAAAACACTCTGAGCCCCTAGGCAGTCTCTTGACTTCCAGGCTGTTGGGTTGGTCTCTCAGCAGTTGAATTTGGTATAATCAATTATCCACAGGTCCCATGACACTCTTAATCACACTCTACATATATTCTTATTTTTGTCTAGAAATCTATTGTTTAAAAAAATAAAATAACCAGCAAGCAAAATTTAAGATGGCAGAGAAACACTTAATACTCAATGATGCCACCAATTATATGCATGTGACAATAAAATAGAAAGGAGAATAAAAGGGTAAATTCACCATTGTTCCAGTGATTTTTCCAAATAAGCATAATTCCTTGACCCCCTGCTGAATTTTCTTAATAAGCTAAGCAGTGTGCCAGGGAAAGAAAAACGTTTGAGCCGATACATAAAACTTAGGTGAAGCCTTCCCAAAAGTGTCTTATATCTGTTACTACTGCTGCTGCAGCTACCTCTTACTCTCTTTGATTCTGTTACTGTGTCTCTCTCCAGAGAGATTTAAAAACCACCACTGCAGCAGAAAACCTTGCCCTCAGATACCTATCACACGATAACAGTTCTGTTTTTTTCCAAGATGGGAAGAAATACAACTCCCTAGAGTCTGTAGTGATTTAGGAACCCTCACAAGCCCTATCGTAATGACTGTTACACAATAAACTTAACGGAGTCAAACAATCATATTATTCAAATGTCATTTTATCAAATGAAGAATTGTTTCATTTGCGTGTATGGAAATTCACTCAGTCAACCAAAAAGCATGTGGGTCAGGCACCGTATTAAGTACTGGAGATATAAAGAAAATACAGCTCCCTACAGGAGATTCAAGTGATTTTTCGGTTACCCCTCAAAAAAATGAAAAAATGAACACAAAGAAGTTAGCACCCTCCTATACCAACCTGGAAAATTTTGTATGTAAATTGAAACCTTCCTAGAAGGCTTATTCGTATGTAACATTCATCAAGATTTTTCAGTGCAAAGAAAAATAAAATATCTAGAAAATTTGATTAACTCGGATTACCTAGAGGAAATTTTAAGTCATAAAAAACTTTTTTTTCTTGTTTTCTTTTGCTGAATCAAAAGGTATTGGATGTCAGCTTTGTATACAGCATTGTTAAGACTTTAAGCTTTAACAATTGTTACTCATTTTGATTACAAAATTATTTTGCTTTGCCTATGTCCCATTGTTCTCCAAAAAAAAGAAAGCAGCAAGTGAGACTACCCTCCACATTGTTTCATTGCTTTTTCTAGCATGTGAATGCCATCCTCAAGGCTCCAACAGCACCATGTGTGATCAGGTGACAGGACAGTGCCCCTGCCACAGAGACATCGAAGGTCGCCGCTGTGATCGGTGCTTGGCTGGTTATTTTGGATTTCCCAATTGCCGTCCTTGTCCCTGCAATGGGTTTGCGGAACTTTGTGACCCAGAGACTGGGTCATGCTTCAACTGCAGAGGATTTACAGCTGGACATAATTGTGAAAGGTATAAAATTGGGACAAACTGGAAAAAGCATCTGTTTCATTTTGCCTTTGAGTAACTTCTCTGAAAGATTACCGAGTAGATACTTACTTACTCAACAGTACAGCGGTTAAAACACCTGTTCTAGAGGTTTTTGGCAGTCCAATAGTCCACCATTCAAATCAATAAACATTTACTGAGCAAACAACTGTAGGCAAAGAACTGTGTTATACTTTGCTATATAAAAGAAAGACTAGATATAAATATAAATATATGTGTGTATGTATATATACATATATTAATGACCCTATCAAAATACTTTGTTTTATAACAATAAAGATAGGGCCTGGACCTATGATTTAATTGGTACGAGAAGCTCTTAGATGAAGAAATTCCCTTTACCAATGCAAATTGGCACCTTCTCTGCAACTTAAAGTTTTAGAGAGTTGCCTAGAGTGCTCAGCTTAAGTGACTTGGTCAGGGTCACACAGTCATTACATGTCAGAGGCAGGTTTTGAGCCCCAATCTTCTTGACTTTGAGTCCACCTTTTTATGCACTATACTATGGTGCCTCTCTTTATGATAATAGCTCACATTTATATAAGGATTTACCATTTACACAGTGCTTTCTCCACAACAACCCTGTAAGGCAGGTACGTGATCAGAGTTATTATCCCCCTTTGACAGGTAAAGATTCTGAGGCTTAGAAAAGTTAAGTGATTTGCCCACAATAAGTGTCTGGTAGAATTTGAGCCCAGGTCTTCCAATGCCAAGTTTAGTGCTCTTTTGACTGAACCATGGCCATGCTATATTGCATATTCCTAAAAAGTGGTATGTAATGAAAATGTTTGAAATTGAGACACTTGGAAAGCACAATTATTTAAAGGACTCTACAATGAATATATTTGTGAAATGAAGAATCTTTTAGCAAAGTAAATAGTCATTCTCTAATTTATTACATTTTTGGATCACATTTTCTTAAGGCAGAATTACAACTGTGTTTGTGCATGTACTTCTCAGGTACATATTTTGATCTATAAGGAAATTTTCTTAATAGATGCATTGATGGTTACTATGGAAATCCTCTCTCTGGAAAACCATGTCTTCCTTGCCAGTGTCCTGATGCTCCTTCAAGTAATCAGTATTTTGCCCATTCCTGCTACCAGAATTCTTGGAATTTAGAAATAATCTGCAACTGCCAAGAGGGTTATACAGGTATGGAATGTATTTTATCCTATGTGCCTTTTCCCTTGTTCCACAGTCCTTGATTGTAGGCTGACACATGACCACAATTTCATCATTTACCTGACTTACACAAATCTGCGGTAAAGAATATAAAATGAGCTGATATGAAGAGAAAATTCATCAAATTTCTACCTTATTGAGTTGAACAATTGTATGAATCAAGAAATTAAGGGAAATTCATCTTCCTCCAGTGTAGTAGTTCTATAGCTAATATGCACCAAAAGACAGAAAACTAACTAAATTATATTTGAGTCAAATAAAGTCAATTTGTGTTGGTACTTCATTTGTGTGAATACCTTTTTATGTGACATAGATTGAAATCCTTCTCTGTCTATTATCTTACATGATTTTATACATGTTTTCCCATATATATCTGGAAAGAATATGTATATTTCATGATTGTTCTTTTTAGTAGCAGAGGTATAGCAATATATTCTTCAGACTGCCCATCTAATGGTCTACAATTCTTGCTATATGACTAAACCATCTCCTTTTCTGCTCAAATTTTTCAATAATATGTTTTATGCTGATGCTCACATATAAGTCATCAGACTACAACTTATTTTCACCTGCCACAATCTTTCCATTGTTCTTTGGATTTATCTTAGGCTCTTCTGAGCTAGTGGTTATTCACAGCCATATGCAAATAACCAGGAGAATATTGTATTAGTATTGGTATTGGTATTGGTAAATGACCTTTTATGGCAGTAAACAGACTGGGATCGTTTAAAGCAGAGAACAGTTTTCCAAATATGATTAAATTTAATCTGTCATTTCCTCCTATTTGGTTTTGGGCTAATATCATTGTTTCTCTGAAGTATCTACTCAATAGGCATAATATAGATGAAATAATTCTGTAGACTATCTACTAAGCTTAACATCATAACCTGGGCAATATGCGTTCTCCAACCACTTGGGTTTTCCAAGTATGAATTCATAAATAATCTTTGCTCTGACAAGTTCAAAGTCTGGCTGTACATAGACAACTGGTTAAGAGGATGACAAAAGAGGATGACAACAATGCTACCTGGCTGCAAATCCTAGAGCACAATATTCTGAGAGGGATCCAAATTACAAATAGCCCAAAGAGCAATTGAAAGATGCCAGGTGGGTAAATCAGGCTGTAGCATTTTACCAATCATAACTCGTGCATCAGAATCATTATAAGATCATTAAGGAATCTTAAGTAAGTTTTTTTAAAAGGCAGCAAACTGATTGTGTTGGGGAAAATGAGAAACAATATGCCAATAGCTAGAGTGATAGCATTGATACAAGGTATTGAGGTTTGCAGATGTTATCCACATATTAGTTCATGTGAGTCTCACAACCCCATTAGGTATATACCACAGGTATTATTACTCAAATTTTACAAATAAGAAATCTGAGGCTCAGAAAGTTTAAATAAGTTGCACAGAGCCCATTAAGTATCAGAGGTATGATTTGTAGCTTTTTCTCTCTCCAAGTCCAACAGTCTGTCCATTGTACCATATTGCAATAGTGGTGTCAAACTCAGATTTTAAAAAAATCCCTGTAGGCCACATATTAACTTAGAAAACCACAAATTCTCATTATCTATGTCTTATTATATTTTTATTTATCTTGTTGAGCATTTCCCAATTACATTTTAATCTGGTTCTGAGCAACCAAAGGAGTTTTTTTGGCTGCATGAGTCCAGCCCCCCCATGAATGAGTTTGACACCTCTGTGCTCTGTGGAAGCTTAATGGGCTAACATGGAGAAGGATTAGCACGTGAGAAGGAAAGTACTATGATCTGTGTCAATGAAGGGAGTACCTAGGCCAATAAAATCATAGTTGCATCAAAATATTCTATCGGGACAGAGTTGGATAGCAATTTCTCCATCTGTTACCAAAGTCATATCCTGGTAAATGCTTCAGCCCCATCCCTGAATTCCCAATGTCACAGGAAACAAGCCTTGGAGAAGGTATTTTCCTCCAAGGAATTTTTGTTCTAAATAACTATTAAGTATTTTAACATGTTTGCAAATATGTTTAGAGACTACAGAGTAAATGCAGATGGATTTATATTTCATGTCGAAACATTTTTTCCTTGTTTACTCTAATGTGCAGATGCTTTTTATAGTACCTGAGGGAGCTCTTTCACTTTCCTATTCAATTTTTAAGTTATTTCCTATACTTCTAACCACCCCATTCTCTTTTCTTTCAATCTTTTCCTCTTGCATAGGTATTAAATGTGATGAATGCTCAACTGGTTTTTATGGAAATGAGAATAACAGGAGGCCTTTGTCTACCATGTGTCTGCAATAACAATATAGATAGAACAGATCCACAATCATGCAACAGGGTAACAGGAGAATGCCTTAAATGTTTATATAACACTCATGGACCCAACTGCCAGTTCTGTAAACCAGGTTACTTTGGATCAGCACTCACACAAAATTGCAGAAGTAAGTTGGTGGTGTAAATATGGTCACAAAATCACAGCTTGTCATTTTCACGGCAGCACACAGATGCTCTCTTGAAGTAGAACTTGGCATGATAATAATTAACATATATGTGGAGCTTTAAGATTTTCAACACATGTAAAACCTCACTTGATCCTCACAAGAAACTATGAGGAAAGTGCTATTATTATCCTCATTTTTCACATGGGGAAACTGAGGCTGGCTGCAGTTAAATAAAATGCCTAAGGTCACACAGCAAGTAAGTGTCTGAGACAGAAATCAAACTCAGATCTTCTTGACTCCAAGTCCAACCATCTTAATCTTCTATGTCACCTAGTTGCCTTTTATAAAGCAAGCTATAAGCAATGTTCTTTGGAAGCTTTTTTTTAGTAGCATTAATATTGCTAAGGATTCATGAAATAGCATTAATTTAAATTAATATTTTGATTTAATAATTAATTGAAAGAGAAAGGCTGGGTGAAGTGTCATTACAGAAGTTGTAGTCATAGGCATTTCTTCTATAGTATTCCTGAGTTTCACTTTTGGTGGTTAACATATCAATGTCATTAATGAAAATTTTCCTAACAGATTTAGTGGAAGACTATGGCCTATTCCTAAAACAATAAATTGTTTACCTTTGGGGGAAGTATAAAAACTTTAGAAAAATTGAAGTTGAAATGAGTAACTATTTCAGAGCAATCAGATGGAATTCAGTGGGCTCAAAAAATTAACATACTTGGCAAAAAATTAGCACCTTCCTCCCTAATTGTAGAAAGCGATTTTTGGTGTGTCCTACTATGTCTGAATTAGAACATATTAAGACTATGGGAAATCACATCCCAAAGAAAAAGTGGTTCTTCTTTGAGCTCTTTGGAAAAAGGGCACACTACCCATTCCAAGTTGGGATTGTTTCATATTATTAATAACTAACAAGTTTGTTTGTTTTATCTAAGGTTATGGTTGTCTTTTTTTCCCTAGAATGTGATTGCAATCCTTCTGGGGTAAACCTTACTACCTGTCCAGTGGGTGATGGAGCATGCCTATGTGACCCAACAACAGGATCGTGTCCTTGCTTGCCAAATGTCATAGGTTTGGCCTGTGACCAATGTGCCAAAGGATACTGGAATCTGGTCCTTGGTAGAGGATGTCAGTTCTGTGAATGTGACCCCCAACATTCTCATAATAATCACTGTAACCAGGCAAGATCCCTTTTTTTTAATAGCATACAGTGTGTTAGCTTTAATGGTGAAACACAGTAAGAACACTCTCTAGTCCAAATCATATTAAATGCTTTTTGCTTTTGCTAATAATCACTTCTGAATGATGTCTTCATGCTGAGACTAAGCTAGAAGGGGAAAAAAGAGGGGGAAGAAGGGAGCAGGGAGAAACAAAATCTGCCAGCTGCATCCTTTTGTCTAGAGCCAGCCCACTTCTGGAAGGTAAACATGAAATGTAGCAACAGAGATGATTTTCCTTTCATTACCTGATAAATGTTATCACAGGAGGACCTTGAAGTAGAATAAACCACATATGGCAATGAACTTGAGGCCTTCGGCTATGGACTAACATATCAGATTTATAATCTTATTTTTTATTTAAATCAAAATGTCATTCCCTTAGGCTAGACAAACTACTTATTGACAGAGTAAAATCAGGACTCTTTACTATAAGGGTTAAATATAAGCCCAAAGACAGCCTATGTGTCTTTCATCAGAAAACTAGTACTTTAATTTCAGAGAGGCTCATTACCAAATCAAGACAGAATTCTTTGGTCACAGCAACACTGGAAGACCCTCTGAAAGGCATGTTGTTATGTAAAGCAAAATGCATTGAAGGTCAGGAATGTCCATTCAAATACCATCCCAGTCACTTACTAGCTATGTGACCCTGGGCCAGTGTTTAATCTCTCTGGACCTCAGTTCCTCATCTATAAAATAAAGGGGTTGGATTTGATAGCATCTAATATCCCTTCCTACTATAAAGCTATGCTTGTATTATCTCTGACATTGTAGAAGGATTATGATGTGTCAAAAGGGGGAGTACCCAATGACAGCAGTGAAAGAACCCTTGAAACATTGAAGAATTAACTGTTTACCACCAAGCATCACTGGGAAATATACGCCAGTGACTGTTCTACAAAGTTGCATTCTTTCATTGCATACTCAATTATACTAAAGTATATGAGTGATTTTCAGTGCCCATTGAAAGAAAGGGAAAAAAAATATGACTGGCATGATCTATTTAGGGAAAAAAAAGTTTAGTGTTTATAAATTGTATAATGTGTTTTGGTTTTTGCCTAAGGAAATCTTTTTTGAAGGCTCGCCTATATCTCTTAGCAGTTACTGAAATATATACGGTACTGTAATCCAGTGGGAGCAATTAGAAATAGCAAGACACCAAGAGAGGGTCATAATCAGAATTTAATGACCTGGGTCCAAGAGAATCAAGATAAAACTGGGATTATTAAACCCTATGTAATATGAGTTAAGCATATTAAGGTTTTAGACTAAGGTATAGCTTACGTACAGTTACATCATAAAATGTCTGATTATCCAGCAAACTATTCAAAGGTTGAATACCTGACTAGAGAAGTACTACAGGAATAAATAGTAGTAGAAGTTAGAATAGATGGAAATTTGACCCTGAGACTTAGTATAAATACCTGACTCCTGGATACTGAAAACTGGAAGGAATTGGCATGCTGTTGATATTGCATCCTTGGGATTTCATGAGATTCCATGGATTCCATGGAAATCTGTGAAAGGAAGGGCCTGGGGTTTTTGACAGGAGTGCCTAGAGAGTGCACCCCTTCATAAAATTTAACTTGGCATCCTGATTTTTTAACTTGGGCCGCTGCCAAAGATTTTCAACCCTCTACATTTAGGGAATAAATGTCCTTAGAATTCAGGAGAGTAACGTGGGAGTAATTATAGTATAGATAACTGGATTCAAAGCTGTTTAAATAGCCATGATGAAAAAATATTGGTTAATATCTCCAAGTCAACCTGGAAAAAAGTTCTTGAATTGTATACTCAGGATTCTGAATATTTTAACCTTCCTCAATAGTTGTATTTTGATTTGTTGTAAATTTGTAAATTTGTTGTTGTAAAAATGTTGTAAATTTGATTTTAAAAAATGGAAAAGAATTGCTGGTCAGATTTGCAGATGACACAAAATAATAGATCATTGGATAGATGGCAAAGTTATGGTTCAAACTGATTTTGCCAAGCTGCCAGAGGAGCCTAAAGCAGCAAGGTGAAGTTTAACAGGAGTAATTATGAAATTCTGCATTTGGTTTAAAAAAAAATCAGTTGCACAATAATAGCATAGATGTAGTTTGGCAGCAGTTTATGTGAAAAATGCACAAGAGTTTTAGTTGATCTCTGGCTTCATGAGAAACAAGAGTGTAAGACAGCTGATGGCAAGGTAATGCACCCTTAGACTACATTAATAGAAGTATAGTATCTGGGTTATGGAAGTAATCATCACACTGTACACTTCTCTGGTTGAACCTTGTGCATACTTTTGAGAAGACAGCCTATTTTAAAAGGATTATTGACAAAGTAAGGTTCATCCAAAGGATCATGGGATGTCAAGGAAACATAAAAACAGATCATATGAAGAAATCAAGATTATTTAGCCTGAAAAAGGGAAGGCTGAGGAAAGTTATAATAGCTGTCTTCAAATATTAGAAGGACTGAAAAGTAGATGATGGTGAAGACATTGTGTTGCACTGACAAAATGAGTATTAATGAACTGAGATTTGGGTTCAACAAAATAAGGAGCTTTCTAACATCTAAGGATGTTAGATGGTAACCTATCACTAAAAATATTCAAGCAGAGGATAGATGACCATGTTTCATGATATCATGGAAGGGATTTCTCCATTGAGTAGAAGGTTGATGTAGATGAGGTCCTCAAAGGTCCTTTGTAATGCTAAGATTTTGTGATTTCATAATTCTATAAACTAGAATTTATATCCATACAGGAAGTAATTGGCATCAAAAGATGAAAGAGAAGGTAGATAGCCTTTTATCATTTTTGTTAAGTCACACATAGTGTTGACTGCATGTAGAGAAAAAGTGGAGGTAAAATAGAATATACCTACACTCTGTCTTATTTATAAAATGGGCTAGAGGTTACAAAGGGAAGGCAATGATGGGAAAACATTGGATTTGGTGTTAGAAGTCTTAATCATACCTAGATCACTACCTGTGTGACTTTGAGCAGTCACTTAACATGTGGACTTGGCTTCCTCATCTGCAGAATGAGAGTGTTGACTAGATGACATCTGGGGTCCCTTCTAGCTCTAGATCTCAGATCTGGGTTCAAATTCTGGCTCTGTCACTATCTGTGTGACCTTAGATATACCACTTAATGTCTGGACCTCAGTTTCCACATCTGTAAAAATTAGGGAGGAGGACTAGATGAGAGAATCTAAATCTTCCAGCTCTTTAGCTATAACCTTATGACTAAGTGGTATTTAAAGGTCTTCCAGTTCTGTCTTTGATCTTATAAAAAATTAACTATACTTTATTTTCAACATTAGGAGATGTTACATCAGAGACATTTCCTACTTTTGGATGTGAGTGTCTTGCTTTTCTCTCTGCTCTTGCCTGTCTGCCTTGCCTTTTAAGCACCCTCATGTTTCTTTCAGTTACAAAGCTCCATATAAAGACTCCTTTAACATACCTTAGATAAGAATTTTATACATTCCATTTCTACTCCCACTCCTTGGAACAAGACTTAAAAAAAATTGCTATCAATTTAGGTTGATGATGACTATATTGTAGGCTTTCAAGGTTTCTCTCATTTTTTAACATATTGATATATGTAACCTATCTTTTAATAGTGTGATGGAGTCTCCTTGTCTGTTCCCTCCCCATTTTTTTTACAGGCAAACTAGCAACCATTTTTCCAATTGCACACACACACACACACACACACACACACACACACACATTATTGAGAGAGAGAGAGAGAAGAGAGAGAGAGAGAGAGAGAGAGAGAGAGAGAGAGAGAGACCTGCTATGAAGCAGCTATATATTTACCAAAGGCCAAATATGAAAGAGTGCAGGAATGAACTTTGGGTGCATTCTGGCCTATAAGGTATGAACTCATCTCATATTGGTGCCACCAAGTCTGATGTTCTTAATTTCTTTTAATATTGAATAAATATCGCCTTAGCATTGCCATTTTAACCAATATGCCTACTTGTTGTATGACCTAATTCCCTACAGATTTCATTTTTGGAAGATACAGACTAAATATTTTAAGGCAGTGACTTGTTTGGACATTTTTAAATTCTATAGCTATAGTTAAAAAACTGAATGAAAGAATACCAAAAAAATTTACTGTGTGCCTACTGTGTGCAAAACTAGAGGGGGAGAGTCAAAGTTTTGTTAACTCAAGAAGCTCTGCCCTCAAAGAACTTGCAGTCTAGCTGATGATTATTTTATTTGCCAAAACTAATTTAAGTTGAGGCATATGCAGCCATTGAGAGAAAAACTATGTTCAATTTAGTTGGTAAATTATGGCTATTTGGAGGAGGTACACACACACACACACACACACACACACACACACACACACATATACACACACATACACACCTGTGTTAATGATACAATCATCATCACCAAAAACAAGAAATTATATGTTTTATTGAACAACATATTTATAGAATCTGGATATTTTTCTTTAATAACAATCACATAAAACTGACTCCACAAATAACACATTTTAAAACTTTATATGTAAAATTTGATTTTTAAAAGAAGAAAAATTAACTAATGTAAATACCATCAATTAAAGAAATGTAATGTTATTGGGTCTTACAATAATAACAGCACTGATATGGCTTGAAGATTTGCAAAGCACTTTATAAATATTATCTCATTTACTGCTCACAGCAACCTTGGGAGGAAAGTGTTATCATTATCCCCACTTTATGTATGAGAAAACTGAAGCAAGCAAAGGTTAAGTATCTTAGCAAGGGTCACACAGCTAATGTCTAAGGCTGGATCTGAATTCAGGTCTTCTTTAATCTAGCACTCTACCCACTGTTATCACCTAGCTGCCTCATACAGCTAACAGACTTTACTTTCTTTTTCCTGTTTATTCAAGAATCTGAAAGGAAAAATGAGTTTATCTCCTTTTACAGTGTTTACACAATTTTTTACAATCACATGAAAGTTGTTTCAACTGATGTTCCACTTAGCTAAATTAGTTGGGCAATAGGATATGCTGGTTTACTGAATTTTCTGGTTCAATGATTCAACACTTGCTTATTAGGAAAAGCACTGGGCTGGATGCTCCATTGGGTGGGATGTGGTAGGGAGACAGTCTACAAAGACATGGAAGACTAAATGCCTCCCATCTGGAAGCTTATAGTCCCTCTTATCAAGGATAAGAGAAGGCAGAAGAGTACCACACAAGAAGTAAAGACTGTGGAAAATTGGAAGAAGAAAAAAGCACATCTGGACATGAAAACCAAGGAAAGTTTCAGGAAAGAGATAACATTCTAAATTGGTCCTTGAAGGATGGGTAGAATTTAGATAGATGGAGATGGTGATGAAAACCATTCCCAGCAGATAGAACAGCATGAGCAAAGATGGAGAAGCAGAAAGTCAAGGGCCATTTTCAGGGAAAAGATTCCATTCTGACTGGAATATCAGATACCTCTAGGAGAATAGAAGAAAATAAGACTGGAAAGGTAAATGGGGACAAAAGCATGAAAGGCCCTAGGGACCAAATTAAGGTGTTTTTGTTTTCTTGGTAGCCAATAGAGACCCATGAAAGGTTTCATAGTAGAAGTATCATAATCATAGCTGTGTTTTATATAGATTAATCTGGAAGCAATGATACTAATATGTAATCAGTCGATATGAAGAAATAATAGAAGAGGAAGTGAAATTAATTAGGCTATTTAAAAAGTATAGATGATAGGTAATAAAATCTTGAATGAGAATGGTGGCAACGAAAATGGAAAGGTGACATATATAAAAGAATTAATTGATAGTTACTTAAACTGTCAAATTCAGACTCTTAAATTATAATAATACACTAATAATGAGGATGATAACAAAAACTTATATAACGTCAGACATTACGCTAAACACTTTACAATTTTAACTCATTTGATCTTCCCAACAATCCTAGAAGGCAGATGTTATTATCCCCATTTTACATATGAGGAAATGGAGGGAGAAAAAGGTTTAGTGACTTTCTCAAGGTCACACAGCTTATAAGTGTCTGAGGCTAAATTTGGACTCAGGTATTCCTGACTCCAGGCCCTCTATTCACTAAACTGACTAGCTGTCTTCTTTATAGAATAAGAATATAATAACATATACTTAACACTAAAACTACCCTACATATAATTATTCTTTTTTCAATAATTCAAAAGATTCTTAGGATCTCATAATGCTACCAAAAATGCTTTAGTAATGCAAGCTTTCTTCTTGTTTTGATCCTAGATGAAATCTTGTGGTGGAATGATTGTTGGATAATCATATGAACAGTTTTCCTTCTTGTACCAATTATTAAAATTATTGGCAAGAATATAGTCCAAAGTCTATTGTTTAGAAAAGTCACTCCAGAAAGAATTTTCATATTGGGTAGGAAGTTTGAGTAGGTGACCACTGAGGTACTATCTAATCCTAAGATTCTAAAGGATCTGACCATAATGACTTTTTCTCCCTTTTTCTTTGGGTATATATACATATATGAGTGTATGTGTGAGTGTGTGTGTGTGTGTGTGTGTGTATGTGTATGTGTATGTGTATGTGTATGTGTGAGAGAGAGAGAATTTTCATTTCCCTCCACTACATTCAGAAACAAGGTACAGAATTCTATCTATCTATCTATCTATCCCATTTCTTGTCTTTATCCTATGTAGATTTGCAAACAAAACTACTACATTTAAATATTTTATCTAACTTTTTAAATTAAAAATAAATCTATTTTCCCCCTCCCACCTCCCCCATTGGAAAAAGGGGGAAAAAGCAAAGCAAAACCCTTATAGCAAATATAACTGCTAAACAAAATATTCCCAGGCTAATTTCTAGAAGCTGCAAATTGAGTGTATAAAATTTTCTACCAAACGAGACATTGAGTGTTCTACCAGATCCTTGGACTCTGTTATCCTTATGGGGAAAACTCCCACAATTATATAAGAAAAGAATCTGGCCCACTTCCCTCTATCTGTTTTGTTTTCATTTGTATCTGTGTATGTCTCTCAGTTGGGAACCACCTGTCCCAGAGCAGCTGGGAGCAGACAGTATATCAGAGATGGGGAAGCCAGAACACGTCTGCGCCATCCTCCCCTCCTTGTTTCTTTTCTATTGCTTGCCCTAAGCCATGGGAACCACCCCTCTTCTGTCTCTACACAGCTGTATAGGTTAAATCACAGGAGAGGGGAAAAATGGTTTTTGTTAGAATTAGTTCTTCTTGGATTATAACATACTCATCAGTTCCTCATCCATGACTGTTTTTACAGTTTACGGGCCAGTGCCCTTGTAAATTGGGATATGGCGGAAAACATTGCAACAAATGTGAGGAAAATTACTATGGAGATCCCCAGATGCAATGCATTGGTAAGTATTGGCAGTTACTCTAAAAAACTACATGGTTAGTTATTTTTTGTCTTAAAAAAACATATCCTTATTTTCCACAGCTTTGCCCTGATGAGGACACCATTCAAAAGATATCCAGTTTTATATGACTATTTGATGAGTGGTTTTAACAGTGTGGATTTAATTAATAACATCATGTGGTTTGGTCTTCTGAAAATTTCTTTTTATAACCTTAAAATAAATTTGAATTCTCAAAGGAGACAGAAAGAAGATAGAATGACCACAATGGACCAGACCCTTGAAGGCAATGCAAATATGCCTTTGCATTGATTTCCTGTTGTTTTAAGGATGCACTGAGAATGAATGTTAACCTCACTATGAGTTGGGGGGGAGCGGTTCTCTGGGAAGAGAATCAGGGGCCATCAGCAGGGTAGGAAAACTTCCAAGACTCTGTGTCCTCGAACTATCATACTCCTATCCCGGCTGGAGTCCAGGAGATAGATTTCTCTTAGTCAACTCCCAAACAAAGCTAATCCAGAATCTAAAGAAGGTGAAGAATTAGCCTTTTGATAAGGCTAGCAATGACATGTGTCATTTTGGCAGTCAAAGGACCTAGGGAGGCTTTTTCTGCATATCATAAGAATGTTCTCATGTGTCTTCCAATAAGCTCTTAACGCAAGTGTTTCCCAGTTGCACTCTATTTAAAGCTTTGGGTTCTCAATAATTCCTCTAGTGTGTAAACTACTCCCTTAGTTTTAAAATTGAAATGCTCATTTAAAACCCAGGAATTGTTAGGACATCTGGAAAATCTGGTTTATGGTGTCCCTTAGGGTGTGGCAACTCTTGCATTTCAATGACAAGAGACTTTCATTGACTCATAAAATGATTTTCATCTCTTATACTGAGGCAATTAAGGAGAAATTGCAAAACTGTGGCCCTGAGCAACAGGAGAATAACTGTGGTTAGAGATGTGACTAATAGAGACTCAATTAACAAAATGACCTGCTTCTTGAATGAAGTTGCTAAAGATGAGGGTCATTGTAAGAAAGCAGAACTTGCCACAAGCTGCTGAAAATAACATAATGCTGACACCTAGGGGGTCCTGAGGAGTCCTGTGGATCAGAACAGAAAGCATCGGACAGATGGCATCTGCTTGGGGAGCCTAATTAGTTCATCAGTCCTCATTAGTATTTGCCATTATTTTTACTCCAAAAATCAGTTATGTTTATTACTTCTTGATCTTTACTGTAACTCCAAGGAGACAGTGGCAGCACATATAGTTTAGTGGCTAGAGTGCTGGAATTGGAGTTAGGAAGGTCTGAGTTGGCATCCTGCCTGGGTAACTCTGGGCAAATTATTTAACTTCTCTCACCCTGTTTCCTCATCTGTAAAATGAAAGTGATGTCTGTAGTACTTATTTTACTAGGTTGTTATGAGGACCAAATGAAATAATGGATATTAAGTACCAATTTAATAAGTAGAGGATTCTACAAGAAACCTTCCCCAACCCCTCTTAATTCTAGTGCCTTCCCATATTAATTATTTTCTGTTTATCCTGTATGTAGCTTGCTTTGTAAATATTTGTTTGCATGTTATTTCTCCCATTAGAATGTAAGCTCCTTGAGGGCAGGGATTGTCTTTTGCCTCTTTTGTATCTTCAGTCCTTAGCACAGTGCCTGGTACCTAGCAGGTACTCAATAAATGTTAATTGATAGTGAGACAGGATAGGCTCATATTCTGATGGCATAGATTTAAAGGCCCAGGTTCATCGTAATTCTGCCTTTGGAAGTACTCTGAAACATGAATGGCTGGCAATGATTCTCCGGTTAGAGAAAGAAAACTCTGAAAATAAAGTGAGGGGTTGGGATGGCTGCCCTGCTGTGGTAGGAAAGGGCTTCCCTTGAGGACCTAGAGGGTCACATGTGGCCTCAGGGCTGAAGGTTCCCCACCCCCGGCCTAACCTATCCAACCAGGGCTGGGACTTAACTAAAACAAGGTACTTCGGTGGGGTCACAGACACAGAGACAAGCCTTAGAACTAGAGCAGCTAAGCAATTTGTTCAAAGCACTTTGGGAGTCACTGATAGCAAAGGACTAATAGAAATCACAGGCTTGACCCTCCTGGTCAATCTTGGCCATGCTAAGAGGACACGTTCCCCTCCTTGAGAACTTATAAAAGTAATCTAATCTTTTCAAGAATTAAAACATTAGCCAATTTCCGCATATTTTAACCAGTAGACAGATGTTGTATACTAATAGCCATTGCACTATTCACTAAGTTTAAACTTATTTAAAATATTTATTGGATAGTTCTGGGCAGGATTCTGATGGGAGGGAAGGATGAAGGGTAAAGAGGGTTGGGTGAAAGCCTGGGCAAGGAATTGCTTTATTTTCAAGTTTCTCCCAAGCTATGAAATATCTGCTTCATTTCTCTCTCCCTCTCCCTCTAGAATGTAAGTGTAACAAGGAAGGGACACAGAACCCATCTGTGACCAGGAAACTGGTTCCTGCCTGTGCCGAACGGGTGTCGTGGGCCAGTTCTGTGATCGTTGTGCCCGTGGTCATTCCCAGGAATTTCCCACTTGTCTTCGATGTCACTTGTGCTTTGATCAATGGGACAGTAAGATTTCTTCCCTCTCTGATGCTGTACAAGGGTTAATTAGATTGGCTGCAAACTTGGAGGATAAAAGAGAGACCCTGCCTGGCTGCAATGCAGACTTCAAACGCCTAGGAGATAGCATGTCTGAAATAGAAAGGATTTTGAAACATCCTGTTTTCTCATCTGGGGAATTCTTAAACGTCAAGGATTATCATGACTCAGTTAGGTAAGACTGTGCTCAAATAAAAGAACCAGACTCACTGTTAACCAGGACTCCTGCTGTGCTTTTAATCTGAACGGCTTTAACCGAATTTGGAAATATACCTATACTAATGTCAGAGAAACTATCAGTTAACAGCCTGAATTACCCAATTAGTCATCGTGTTTGCTTGCCTCTTTCTTTCTTTTTTTTTTTGGAGGCAATCGGGATTAAGTGACTTGCCCAAAGTCACACAGTTAGTAAGTGTCTAAGGTCACATTTGAACTCAAGTCTTCCTGACTCCAGAGCCAGTGTTCTATCCACTGTGCCACCTAGCTGCCCCTGCTTATCTCCTTCTTAACCTACTTGAAAGCAAGTTTTTCCCAGATGCAAATACATTTTAACTAACAGTTGAACTTTTTAGATTTTAACCTAGATTACCAACTTCAGGGAAATGATAAGAATAATAGTAGCAACTCAGTTCGATGCAATTCAACAAACTATTACTACCTGTGACATACCAGGCATTGTGCTAGGCCCTGGTGAAACGCAAACAAAATGGAAACAGACCCTCCTCTCAAGAACTTTGGGGGAGAAGAAAGAAGAGAGAAGGGGAAGGAAAGGGAAAAAATATACACTGATAAGAAAATATAAAATATACAAAATAAACACAATCAAATTTCAGAGAGGAGTTTTAACATCTGGGAGGATCAGGAAAGGCGTCTCAAAGAAGGTAGCATTTCAGCTGATTCTTGAAAGGAGCTAGCATTTCTGTTTGGTTTTTTGGGGTTTTTTTAGGCAATTGTGGTTAAGTGACTTGCCCAGGGTCACACAGCTAGTAAGTGCCAAGTGTTTGGTCTGAGGCTGGATTTGAACTCAGGTCCTCCTGACTTCAGGGCCAGTGCTCTATCCACCGGGCCACCTAGCTGCCCCAGGAGCTAGCATCTCTAAGAGGCAGAGGAAAGGAGGAAATGCATTCCACATACGGGAGGCAGCTTTTGCAAAGGCATGGAGACAAGAGATCCCAAACCTATCCTTCCTGCTATGTCCTCCCTCGATATATCTGCTTGTTCATATGTTCCTTTTGAATCAGGTGCTGTCCCCTCCACGAAGGCTTCCCTAATCCCCACGACTGAAAATGACTGGATCTCAGAATTAACATAGAAAGATGTCTCATCTAGACCAGAAGTGTCAAACACATGGCCCACAACACTCCCAAATGTGGCCCAAACCAGATTAAACTGTAGTTCCTACCTGACTTTAATGATGTTGTTGTTGTTTCTATTGTTGTTATTGTTGTTCAGTCGTTTCAACTATGTCCAACTCTTCTTGATCCCATTTGGGAGTTTTCTTGGCAAAGACACTGGAGGGGCTTGCCATTTCCTTCTCCAGATCATTTTACAGATGGAGAAACTGAGGCAAACAGAGTTAAGTGACTTGCCCAGAGTCACATAGCTAGTAAGTGCCTGAGGCTGGATTTGAACTCAGGTAGACCTTCCTGATTTCAGGCCCAGTACTCTATCCATTGCACCACCTGGCTGTGCTTATTTTAATATAATATACCGATGTTTTAATAAAAAAATTTCTAAAAAAGAAAAAAGAAATACATAAACATGGTTTTCTAAGTTAATATGCAGCCCACAGGGATCTTTACGTGTGGTATAGTAGCCCTTCTTCCTATTTGAATTTGGTACTTTGCTTCAACTTGTCCATAAAAATAGCAAGATGGCCCTTTTCATATAATTTGCTGACATCCAAATAAACCACATCCGTGGAGACTGCCAAATAGATCTACTCTCAGAACTCTTCCTCTTCCCATTTATCATCACTGCTTTTCTTTTATCATATTTCATCTGTTTATTTTTTTAAACATTTCATCTTGGGGAAGCTAGGTGGCGCAGCAGATAGAGCGCTGGCTCTGGAGTCGAGAGGACCTGAATTCAAATGTGACCTCAGACGCTTGACACTCACTAGCTATGTGACCCTGGGCAAGTCACTTAACTCCACTGCCTAGCAAAATACAAAAAATAAAAATAAAAAGTAAACACGTCATCCCCCAGTTAGACTGTAAGTTCCTTAAGGGAAAGACTGTAAGGTTGTTGGGTTTTTTTCATCTTTGTATGCCCAGAACCTAGGATAATGTCTTGCATATAGCTTGCACCAAATGAATGCTTGCTGAATTGAACTGAATATAAATAGCAAATCAATAAGCATGTATTAATCGCCTACTGTGTGCCATTCACTGTGCCCTTGGGCTATTATAACCATACTCCAATAAAGTTTATTTAGTTTTTTCTAAACTTTCCAATTTTGCCAAAAATCCATATATTACTAAGGTTACTTGAAATTCAGCATCAGAAGATTTGGAAATAGGAAAGAACCTTACAGGCCATTTAACCCAGAATGTACGTTTTACAGATCTGGAAATGGAGGCCCAATGTTAATTGGGTCACGCTCAGTCAGAGCCAGGATTCAAACGTGGATTCTGTTATTCCAACTCTAGTCCTCTTTCCATGCTGCTGAACTGTTTCCCCTTGAAATTTGTCCAGCTAGTGTGTCTCAACATACAAGACTAAAGGGGCTTCAATTTCACAACCAAAACAATGTGTTATTATAGCAAAACATCCTCCTCTCCCAAAAGTTATTAGAAATTGAAGGATGATCCAAACAGATTTCCTGTTAAAATGTGCATGTGGACATTTAGAAACATTTTAATGAAAGGCAACAGGAACTAGGAGTAGAGGGGACATTATAATTGGCCTGTACATGAATACCCTACGTTTAAATGTATATTTATGTGTATCCCCTAAAAAGTAGCCTAAGATAAGCATAACCCAGAGCTATTTTGAACTAATGGGGGAGGGAAGAAGAAGTTGAGAAAAAAATGCTCACTACAAAAACTGGCAGTAGAAGACAAAATTCTATTCAGTCACCTAAAGGAGAGGGTCTGGCAAAACCCTACAAGAAGGGCCTTACAGCAAGTGGTGAAGAAGAAAGGAGTTTCAACTAGGATTCTAGAGAGTGGACCTATTTTTCCAGGCAAGAAAGGAATGTATTCCTCCAGAGACCAAAAGAAATAGCTTGGAGATAGGAAGTAGAAATCAGGATGACAATAATATTTTTCTAAGCCAAAAGTCAGGAGGACGTAGAAACTGACAAAGAATATTCCTTTTGCAAAAACCTTATTGTAAGAGAAAATGTTATGTAGTGGGCAGAGTAATGGTCTTTGAGAAGACAGCATCTGGGTTCAAACCCTGCCTCTGATGTGTACAAGCTCTCTGACCTTAAGCAAGTCTCTCTCAGTTTCAGTTTTCTCATTTACAAAATAGATATTACAATACTTGCATTAACATGTTTATAGTGAGGAAAGCATTTTGTAACCTAAAATGTGCTACAAAGATGTGAATTTTCTTTATCATTAGTAAGATAGTTCTCACTTTAGGTACATTTGCAAATTTTAAAGAATTCTCAAAGAAATCGGCATTCCAGAAAAAAAAAAAGCTATGTTAACTTTACTATACAGTACATTACTGTGCCATTTCTCTCTGCTTCTGCCACTCTGCTTGGCCTTCCCTGGCCTCCCTCCCCACCCTCACCATCCCCCCACCAAAAATTTAAAAAAAATTAAAACCCTCCAGATGAAAGTAGAACTGAAGCAAAGAGACTGGCAGCCAATTGGGACTTTGCTTGAGACCTCCAGTACCCCTTGTCACCTGCCCACATGTCTGCCCCTGCACATCTGTTCTCTGTCCAAGCTCAGATATCACGTGTCTATCCCCACCTGCCCTGTCACCAATCCTTTCCTGTCTGTGTCCGCGTCCGGTTGGCCTGGCCCAGTGTGTTCCTCCTGTTCTAGCTTCTCTGTCCCCTCCCTCCATAGGTATAGGCCTCCTTCCTGTCTCCCTTCCTCCCTTCCCACATCCTCAGGCAAATTCAGGGTCTGCAGACACAAGAACTGTCTCTAGTTAATCTTTCTCCAGAGCTATTACTTAGAAACCAAGCTGCCTGATAGACATTTCACTTCCTCTCCTTTCTTCTGCCAGTTGTTTGGTGGTCGTTCAAATGTGCACTAGCCCCATTGCTTAGCACACAGTATGTCTTTAATGCATGCTTTGTATTCATTCAATAGTGGGCCTCCGAGACTGAATGGGACCACAAAGGGTCAAGATGATTCATTAACTGAAGCATCAGTCCTCAGATAATAAAAATTAAGGTTAACACAATAATCCTAATAGCAAACATTTATGTAAGACTATACCATTTACAAATGGGTTGTGTATTTTTAAATTATCCCCATTTTAAAAATGAGAAAACTGAGGCTCAGCTAGGTCAAGTGACTTCCCCAGGTCAAAGAGATAGGTGAGTTTTTAGCACCCAAGTTCTCAAACTATAAATCTAATGCTTCTAATCAAGAGATGTTGGACAAGTCATTTCACCAGCCTAGGCTTCATATTCCTCATCTATAAAATGATGGCTTCAAAGGATCCTTCCCATTCAAGATCCATGGTCCTTTGTACCCATCTGTACAAATTTCATATTAGCTAAGAAGATATATCCATGCACAGCAAGTCCCAGAAGTCTTAGTGCAGTCTTAAACTTTTGCACTGAGACTTTTACAACACCCAATAACTTTTACATACATTGATAGACATAAAGACAGATAGACAGACAGGTAGGTAGGTAGATTAGACAGCTATATTAGATGGGTTAGAAGGATAGACAGACACAAAGAGATGATGACAGAGAGAGCAATGGGGCATAGCAGAAAGAGTTCGAGATTTAAATTCTAAGGAACTACATTTGAATCCTTACTACTTAAAAACTACCTGACTTTGGGCATTTGGCTTCACTATTCTTGGTCTCAGGTTCCTCATCAGTACAATGAGAGGGTGGGACTAAATAATTTCTTAGTCTCCTTTCAGCTCTAAATCTTTGATCCTGTGAATTGTTTTGTAGCTCCCATCTCCCTAAGGCCTCAAATGTATTGCAGGTTTAATGAGATGTAAAGGATCTTTGTTAAAATCAAACAAATATGATAATCTTCTCTAGAACACAGGTTGATCAGATAGCCCAACAACTGAATAGAGCTTATGATTTCCAAGACCTGAATGGAACTGTGGTGGGCATTGGGAAAGAAGTGGATGATCTACTCAAAGACCTGCAGAAAAAAGTGCACTTGGCCTCCCATGTCAGCAATTCCAGCATCAGGGGTAAGAAACCAAATGCATTTCAATCATCTGGTGAACTTCCCTCTTGGCAGCTGATGAAATACCCATTGCATTCCATCAGTTACTTATAGTGTGCTATTGCCATAGTGCCTAAGTGCTTTAGAAAGCAAAACCACACCCCTTAAAAGTATTATTTGCACACGAATGTTTCAGCTTTTGAACATTTTTGGGATCCTAGACTATGCTTTCTATAAATGAAGAACTCAGCCAACAATGTATAACCTAAACATATACTAGAGGTTAACTAAAGTGGTATCTAATTATAAACCCATGAGGGGTCTGGGATAAGGAAGAACCCCAAGGTTAGTGGGCCTAGTGTAGCCTTGGGGAAATAACAGAAACAGCTCTTAGCCATATTCTAGTCTTTGCAAGCTACATTCTCATCCCTTCCTTAACACTAATAACTAAGTTCTAATGAACTTTGGATAAGAGAGAGTATGAGAGCTTGGCAAGATCCCTGTTTTATTACTCACCAAAAAACAGTAAGTAAATTAAAATTCTCATAAGACACTGGGAAGATTCAGTCACTTGTAGAGATTAAGTCCAGGTCTGGGTAATCTGAACTTAAGAAGTTTGGAAGTAGGGAGGAGAAGACAAAATTCTTGGATTCCCAGCTTCCTAAAACCTAGAATTATAATTTATAACTTATACAAAAATTTAGGTAACTATTATTAGTAATATTCGTAATAGTGCATTAAAAAACTACATAACATAACAAAGAGAACTGGCCTCAAAGCCAGGAAGACCTGGGTTCAAATCATCCCTTTGACATATAGTGACTGTGTAACTTTGGACAAGTTACCTGAACTCTCAATTCCCCAGGAAACCCTCTAAGATTACAAATTGCAGAGAAAGTACTAACCTGCCTTGGTAGAGAGCTTTTCCCCACTTGGGAGTTCCCTCTACAAATTGAATCTGAGGTCTATTCCCTTTTTGTACCAGTGTATATTTAAGGCAATACTTTATGGTTGCAAAGTTCTTTTCCCTTTTCATTTACATGATCTCATTTGAGCCTTACAAAAATCCTGTGAGTCAGATAGTGCAAATATTATCCTTATTTTATTAAGTACTAGGAATCATAGAGGCTAAGTGTCTAACCCAGATCATACAGTTAATAAGCAACAGTCAGGAACCCAAACCCTTTTGCTTTCTGTCCAAGTTCATTTGGTTTTTCATTACGCCACACTGCTGAATCTTTGCATTGCTATGTTAAATATAATGACTTATAATTTTACATACATGAATCACATATGTGTATGTATATATAAACATACATGTATACATATGTGTGCATATTTGCACCTATAAAAGCCACGGTGAACATGTGATTTCATAAATATAGGGAACTCTAAGTGAGGAACTCTTCCCACCAAGGTATTACAGTATCTACAACTTACAGCTTTAGAGAGCTACTTGAGGTCAACGAGAGCTTAATTACGATCAAAGGTAGGATTTAAACCTAGGTTTTCTTGAGGCCATCTCACTATCCACTACACCACATTGCCTCTCATTTTATATGATTATTCATTAATTATTTAATTATTCATGATATAATTATGTCATTCATTATTCAACACCAATAAGAGCAATAAGAGACTTCAAAATTCCTTGGGACCCAAATGCTCTTGGGACTCAAATTGATTTAATTGTAATGTCTGCTACTGTCACAGGCAAAATAATAGGATCTAGCAAAGGAAGAAATCATAGTCATAGTTACATCTGCAGACCAGGAATGCTTGCATTGCCAATGACAAGGAGACATGGTGGAGAGGGGCACAAAAGGTGGATGTCCTTCTCTTCATTCTGATCTATCTCTTTCATAGTTTTTAGCGGTGGGGGGAGGGGTAAGAAGGCTTTCTCAGAACTTTTTGCACAACAGGAAAGAGAATATGCAAAAATTAAACTGTGGCTTGTGGCAGAGATTAAAAATATAACGCAAATAAAAGCAGAAATGTGTATCTCTAAAGAGTATTCAACCAATCAATATGCAATATAAATGTAAAAGATATGTAAGATAATATAATATAATATAACATATGATATGATATGATATGATACAATATGATACAGCATTATAATTTAATATAATATAATGTGATTAATATAATATAATATAATATAATATAACACAAATAATATGTGTTCAAGGAGCATGAGGACATGGCCAGAGTGCTTTCTTTCCTTCCATATAGTTTCCTATGAGGTGCATCATACTACTAGGCAAACTTGCTCTGAATAAGTGGGCAGTCTATAGTTCTACAGCTTTAAATGTAAATTCAAAGAGAATGAAAGAACCAATGTTGCGGGGAGGGGTTTTATTTGAAGAAAAAAATAAACACATCATAGGACTATTGTCTTTAATTTATCAACCAACAAACATTTATTAAGATGTGACACAGAGAAACAATATTAAACATGGAGTCACAGACCCTAATTCATATCTCACCTGTGATGATTACTACTCTGTGACGTTGGTTAAAGTTATTTAACCTCTCTGGGACTCAGTTTGCTCATCTGTAAAATGAAGGGATTAGACCAAATGATTTCTAAGATCTCTTCCAGCTCTAAACCTATAGAATGTGATCCTTTGTATACTTAGAGCTATACCAAGTTCTGGGGACACAAAAGCAAAAGTGAAAGAGCCCTGCCCTCAGGGAGCTTACAATATAGGAATGTATGTATGGTAAGGGAAAAGCAACTTATACAGGTACTTGCAAAATAGATTCAAGATAATTTGAGGGGAAGGCACTGGCTGCTGGAAGGGATCAAGATGGCTGATACAGAACATGCTGTTCTCTCAACTATCATTTTCACAATAATTTACATTGATACAGATGCCTCCAAGATCAAGAAATATTATCAGATGTCATTATCTGCAGAACAGAAAATTAATGAGACAACGCTTATCATAAAACATTCTGAAAATACTAGGAATGATATGCTTACTATGATAGATGGACTAACCTCAAAAGCAGACTTCTCACTGAAAAAATTAAAACAGATTCAGACTCCAGATATCCAAAAACTGAACGAAAAGGTAAACAGAAAACACTGAATGTTAAAATTGTCCTGTGATTCCTACTTCATTATCTCTTCAGTTTTTCTTCCCTCACATTTTGTTTTCCTTCTTGAAAGTCTCTCTAGCTAGTTGTAGTGGTATACATCTGTAATCCCTGTCACTGTAGAAGCTAAGGCTGGTAGTTTGCCTGAACTCTGGAGTTCTGAGCTGCAGTGGGCCAAGCCCATGGGGTGTCCACCCCAAGTCCAACACCAATATGGTTATTCTTTCCTTCACTCCCCAGGAGTGTGGAAACAAAAGGCTGCCCAAAGGAGGGACAAACCAGGCCAAGTCAGAAATGGAGCAGGTTGAAACTCCTGTGCCAATCACTAATGAGATATCAGGTCCTTGAATGTGGCCACTGCACTTTCAGTCAAGGCTAGACTGACCCCCAATATCCAAAAATGTGGTGGGGGTGGGGGGCTTTCCTTTTCAAAATCCAAATGACAGAGATAGTACCTATTAATCTCCTGGTCTACTATTGTTTCTGAAACCATGGGTGTTTTTTCATCACTTACACTTGAATATATTGCTATAAAATCTGGTAGCCCTGAACATTTTAACTTTGTCTTACCCTAGTTAATATTTTTTATTTTACAAGTCAGCGAGAAATACAAAATACATTAGTTGATGTAATGCTCTTAAAATATGATCATAAAAAATTAAAAATGCTTAGGTGCAATAAAATTTGGGACATCAGACCATGTGCAGTGATTGCTTTCAGGCAAATATTAACATTGCTGTGCTTATTCATAATTTCATTAAATAGAATGTTTAATATATCCTGTTTCAGCATCAGATTTCTGAGCTTTTGCAGTTCAAACAATTTGCTTCTTGACAACAAATTCTCTTTTTAGGTGTGTGGAATACCAGGAAACTTGTCATGTGTTCTTGCGCCCTGTGGGGGAGCTCTGTGTAAAGATGCTTATGGGCACAGGATGTGTGGAGGTCCAAGCTGTAATGGTTCTCTAGGCCTTTCAGAGGATGCTGTCAAGAAAGCTGAAGAAACTGAGTCTATGATTAATAATCTGACCAACCAGCTACAAGTATCAGAGAATCAGGTAATTAAATGCCATGTCATTCCATCTTGCTTTAACAGTAAAATGATAAATGTGACATTCAGAAAAAAAAAATAGGTAAATGAAAACAAAGCCATATAATGTTCCTGTTATTCAAAAATTAAATTTATCAAAGTTAAAAGAAATTGACTCTCCGGGGTTTGGCTGTGCTGTGTCATAACAGCTCAGTAGCTGAGCAGCCATTGAAGGGGAAGGAATTGCATGTGTGTGGGTGTATGGAGGTGTGTACGTGCGCACACATGCGAGTGTATGGAGAAGGCGGTGGGGACATTGAGTATGAGTCCCAACTCCTCCGATTCTATTTGCTGTTCTCATTCCTCCCCCCCCTTCCTGGTGGTGATTGGTGTAATCTTTTCCCTTTCTATATCTCTTCATTCTTTTCCTAACCTTTTCTTATTTGGAGGTTGGGGGTGGTTGAAAAGGGAAAGGAAAGAGAGAAAGAGAAAGGGGAAGGGAAGAGTGTGAGTAGTGGTAGAGGAGGAAGAGAGAGGACATGGAGATGAAGATGAAACGAAGATTAACCTGGAGTTAAGGAACAGAGCTCCCAAAGAGGTGACACAGTTAGTCCTTGATAACTGTCATTCTGTCAACGGGGAAATTGAAGGTCTCAATGATACTTTCAAAGAATTAGAATTTCTGAGCATGGTCAATGTGGCGCTCACCTCTCTGGCTGGGCTTCTCAGCTTGAGTAAACTTTGGAAGTTGGAACTTAATGTTAATATTATTTCTGGGGACCTGGAGGTCCTGGCAGAAAAATGCCCAAATCTCACCTACCTCAATCTTAGTGGCAACAAAATCAAAGATCTCAGCACAGTAGAAGCTCTGCAAAATCTTAAAAGCTTGAAAAGCCTTGACTTGTTTAATTGTGAGATCACATATCTGCAAAATTATAGAGAAAGTATTTTTGAACTGCTTCAACAAATCACCTATCTAGATGAATTTGATCAGGAAGATAATGAAGCAACAGATTCTGAAGAGGAGGAAGAAGATGAAGAGGATGATGATGAAGATGAAGATGAAGAGGAGGATGAAGCAGGTCCACCAGGAGGATATGAGGAAGAGGAGGAAGATGAAGATTAAGCAGGTTCAGATTTGGAGGAAGAAGAGGAGGTGGGTCTCTCATACCTAATGAAGCAAGAAATTCAGGATGACGATAATGATGATGACTATATTGAAGAAGGAGGAGATAAAGAGGAGGAAGAAGAAGGTGTTCAAGGAGAAAAGAGGAAATGAGATATTGAAGATAAAGGAGAAGATGATTAAATGGACCAGACTCCATTATTCTACAGTCTACAATAGAGTGATCTTGTCTATCTCTGTTTCTTTATGTACCATGCTGTCCCTACAGAAGATAACATGTAACTTTTTATAACAAAGGTGTGGTTTTTACTATTTTTGCCTTTGTTACCTTGTTAGTGATCACATACAGTATCTAGAAAAAAAAAATCAGTCCTATATAATGATTGACCCCATTATCAAATTCCCTAGCAATTCATTTGAAATCTTAATTTTCTTATTCAGGCTCAATGTTTTGGTCATAATTAGTTCACAATTAAAATATGGCAGGTTTTCCACATGGCACATTTCATTCATAAGGTTTTAAAGTTATTTATAAACTAGTTGAAATCAAAGTTGCTATTATATGCTGTAATGTGAGAAGTCAACAGTCTCTCTTTGAGATGAAAAAGTTGGTTATATTCTTTAGAGCTAGCTAGAGGTCTAGTTAGAAGATAGTGAGTTTTTTGATGCTAATGGTTTTTTGTATGGTTACATAATTAAATCAGAAGCAGAATGGTGAGGGTTCTGTTCAGAAATAGCATTTTTGTGGTTTATTGTTGGAGAGGCTGCTAAAACCTGTCTCAAACCAGGTGGCTATTTAGGTCTTTGTGTTTAAAAAAAAATTTCATGTATTCCAAGTTCTGAGCATATATGTGAACCCTTTCTTTTTGAGGCTACAAGTCATGGCATGACAGGGTTCTTTAAGGTGTACATTTTGCTCTTTTAGCAGTTTCCTTGCCCTTTCTGATTTCTATCCCCCCAAATGGAAGACAGACTGCAAAAACTTTAGGCCCTTCCCTCAACCCCTTTTCTTGCTTTGCTTGGATTTCTCATAGGCTATCCTTGAATGAGAGGATTGACTAAAATTGTCTCAAATACAGACAAGATTTTTCACATAAATTTGTTCAGAAGTTTCTGCTTACCCTGAATCTCTTCTGGTTGATATTGTGAATTAAGTGTATCAGGGTGAAGTCAGAGGGGATTCCTTAGATGTCAGATAGCTGTCTGTGAATGTTTAATGAAGCATTCTATCCATGGATAGAATTTACATTTAATATTTGCTTCCTGAATCAAGATTTGGACATTGCAGACTGGAGATCTGCAAAACATATTTTATATTCCTGAATGGAATCTTAAATTATTTTTCCCATTGGTATGAAGCATAACCAACTTTTAAGACACTTGAATAGGGGCAGTTAGGTGGCGCAGTGGATATAGTACCAGCGCTGGAGTCGGGAGGACCTGAGTTCAAATATGGCCTCAGACCAAACACTTGACACATAACAACTGTGTGACCCTGGGCAAGTTACTTAACCCCAATTGCCTACCAACAAAAAAAAACACATTTTAATGGCATGTATTAGGCAGTTGGCAAAAATACTTGAAACTAGCTTGGTTTTAAGGTAAAGATTTGTTTTAAAATGGATATCCATAAAGAAAAGAATATGGGGAAACTTTGCAATTGTATGTGTGCACCTGTGTATGTTTTTTCCTATTAAGTTTCCATGTTTTATATGAATTCTAAATTTTAAAAAATTGAAAAATATATTCCCCACTTTTATCATGAAGGCTCAATTTTCCAGACAATTGCTCTTTGTTGATCTTGACTATCTCAAGAATTTTCTTTCCTATAAGTTTTTAATATTTGTAATTCAACTTTTTAAAAATCAGCACCAACAAATGGTGACCATGTCTCTTTGAACTGAAGTCGTACTTCTCTACTGGGCCACATTTAAATTACTTAAGACAGTAGTATTTTTATCTTTTCCCCTTGAGGCACAAAGAATGTGACTAGTAGCTCTGGGGTTCCTATAGAAGTATAATTACAGAGTTATCTGTAGAGAAACCAAATTAACAAAAAGCTTGACTGGTTAAGTGAAATCAAATTCTTGAGACAGAGTGGTGGAATGATGGGATGCTTGACTAATAGTTTACTCATTTTTAACAGCTGAAATGCAGCATTTTGGGCACTTGACATTCTTAAATTCCATATATTACTTTAGGCTTCCAAAATACCTATTTGAAAATTAATCTACACTTTTAAAAAATCATCTTACTGTGCAATCAGATTTAGTACAGTTCTTTTATTTTAAAAGTTAATACCTAGAGCCTCTAAATAACTTCTAAAACTTACTTTGCTTGGTGGGTGGTATTTTCATGCAAATATGTAAGGGAAGGGTTTTATATTTTGTGGAGGCTTTTGTCCTATTAATGCTCTTTGTAAGGCAGTGTGTATATAGTGTAAGTCCTCTAAGAATTTCTCTCCTAAAAAACTTTGAAGTTATTAATTTTTCGCTACTGTGTTTTGAATAAAGCCATGACAGTGTTAAAATTTTTTTTAAAATTGACTCTGCCTTCATGCAATTTACCTTCCAAAGGAAAATGGCTAACTATGCACACAGATTATTTCAAGTAAACATCTTTAAATTCAGAAAAGGCAACAGTGATTTTGAAGTGGATATTCTCAAGAGTAAAAGATTAAACTTTTGATTTACTACCAATACTTTAGATTACAGGAGTGTGAATATTTCCTTTTTAGGCACTGTACCTGTGTCATGCATTCTTTCAGTCAGGCAACATATGGAAATTTACAAGAATCCTACCCCCTAAAGGGATATGACTCTAGGTCTCTCTAAGCAAAAATAATAATAATAATAATAATAATCTTCTAGGAATTCAAGTGTTTATTAGAAACCTTATGTAATATACAAATTTTAAAATGTTAAAAGGAATTTTGAATGAAAGTATCAATTTTTATATTGTTAGCCCATACTGCTATCATTTGATAAATTGCTTAACCTTTAAACCAGTTCAATTCAGTCAATATTTATTAAGTACTTGCTTGTGCATGGCATTGCACTAGATTGGAGTGTTGGGAGATTAGATAACTAATATTTCCCCTCCCACTCTAGAGTTTATAATCTAATATACAGATATGACAAATAGACATAAATGCTTGTGCGTGTGTACGCACACACACACACACACACACACACACAAACTATAATGCAAAGGATTTATTACAATTTAATAAATAAATAATAAAATAATTAACGATAAGAACATATGAAAAGTATAAACAAAGTGCTATGTGGGCTCCAAGGCACAGAGGTTTCATGCAGAAGGTGGCATTTGTACTAGGTTTTTGAGGTAGTGCCTGAATTTATTTTATTCCTCACTCTATTTATCTGAATTCTATACATTCTTCAAGTTCCAGCCAAAGTTTTACCTCTCTAAACCTTCTCAAACACTACAGATCAAAACAATCTCTTTCACTTGTATAGCTTACCTTGTATTCTCAGTTTTTACTCTCTGAACTAAACTATAAACTGCTTGAGAGGAGACTCCACCTTCAGTCATTTAATACTTACTTATATCTCACATTACATACTCAGTTTTCTTTGTATGCTTGCTCTTTCCCCACCTAGAGTGTAAGCATCTTAAGGAGCATCTTTAATAATTTTTCTTAGCAGTTTTGCTTAGCACAATTCTTTTTTTTTTTTTGTGAGGCAATCAGGATTAAGTGACTTGCCCAGGGTCACACAGCTAGTTTCAAGCATCTGAAGTTGGACTTGAACTCAAGTCCTCCTGACTCGAGGGCTGGCTGCACCACCTAGCTGCCCCTGCTTAGCACAATTCTGAGGGACAAATTAGGGATTGAGTTAATTTTCGCTGATTTATTTGAAAAATTAAAAAAATGCTAA